GACGCTTGCCCTTTTGCCAGCTGTGAACTGTCACCAGCGCCGAATTGCGATATGTGGGAAACTTGGTGGCAATTCCGCTCTTCTTCCACGTCTCAATGACCATTGTCCTAGATCCTTGCCGGGCTCTCCCTTTTGCGTATAGAACCTAACTCGAGCTGTTTTCAACGCGTACTGAGCGTTATTTAGAGCGCGTCTAGATTATAAGTGTCGACCTAAGCCGGTCGCAAATCGATGCATGAATAACAAGTTGGTGTTTTACTTGTGAGTGACCAACTATGAGATACCCTCTTGTTCATTATTCATTATAAACATGCACAATTTCTCGTGGTTTCCTTCTAAGATTCATCATATAATAATTTGTAAGTTAAATGCCTGAGCTTTGTGAAATTTTCCGAGCTTTATATGAGAGGCCAATGCTAATTATAATAATAATCAATAGTTTTCGATACTAGGAGAGTATCGATAAATTTAAGCTAGCTTGGTCTGTGTAAGGAATTCGAAAATCTTAATTGAATAATCTTCAAGAAGCACCAGGCTACATCAGCTCAAGAATATTAATACTTAAAGGCTTTGCCTGTTACAAACACCTTCACAAATTCCATATGCCCTGTCTCACCCATTTCCAATAGTTGCTAGGTATCAAAACATTTCCATTATGATAACCGTGACGCGTCGTGTTATCAGTCCCAGCGATGTCGAGTCTGCCATCCTATTACACTGGCAGCACAGCCAAGTGTTTGGAACCCGATGATATCGTTGCTTCTACACGTGAACCACGCTGACCCACGGTGACGCGTGTCGTGGTCTATCTACCCGTAATCGGCTTGCAATCAGCTAGTAGTTATGTTAAGCGCTCCCTGCCGGCTGCCGGGGTCAGGCCTAGGTAAATATTCTGCTGATACGCAGCTAGCTTTAAGAAGGCGTTGCACGTTTTGCAAAACTAACCGCGACGCAGCACATTTATGTTATCAGATGGAAAAACTAGCTTTTAATAAAAATATAAATTCACTTTAGGCGCATTTAAAAATGTTTACAAAAATTAAATTTGAAATTGGAAATTGCGTAAATTACTTTGCGATCTTTTGAAGGAATTTGAGCATTGTCATTAATTTTTAACAATTGATGAAATTATAATAAAATTAAGCATATGTATTCATGATCGGATTGATCGACAAGCCGATAACTATATTTAAGAGTAAAAGAGAAGAAAAACTTGAACTGAGTTCTTGTATTAATATCTTTTTTTGTAGGTGTTTTGAATTTCAATTTTGATCGATTTAACATATTTAATATCAAGAGCATTTAATCTTCGGTGCTGTGTTTCCAACTATGCTTTCTTGTGTATTGTTTATTGATAGCTCCCTAGTCTTATCAAACAGATGTCTTTCAGAGTTTGATTAACATATGCACAATCAAAGCCTAAACGTTTCCACGGCAAGTTCGACATTATAGACTAAGATTTGTTCAATGGAAATCTAACAGTGTCCGAATAAATCTATCCTCTATAACATACTTTTAGGTTGCCCATCAAGTATATATTAAGCTTTCATTCAACGTTTTAGTTTACTTATATGCTTCTTGAAATAGAACAAACTGGTATCGAGCAAAGAACTAGCCTGTTCTCGAGCTGTTTCACATATATAAGTGTTAGTGTAAGTGGAAATTATAAATACCTATCTACCCAAATAAGTTTTGTCATGGGATTTTGAAGTGTTTTATGGACAGTTTTTATATTGTACGGATTCTTTGGTGAATCAAATTGGTATTGAGACTTTAAAGACTTGATCTTGGGCTTTCTTTTGTGGCAAAATGTTTCCCGTTTAAAACTTTTAGCGTCTTTTTAACTCAGCCAAAGCTGCTATGCATGCGTTTTCAGTATCTTGACATGGGGTTTTGCAGTGATCTATTTACATTTCGTTGCAATGCAGTTAGTTCTGGTGTGTTGGAGCAGCCCATTGATAAGAGGCGTTACAAAAGCCGAAAGCTCGCCGAGCTTTTATAATTTGTCGAGTGGTGTGAGACAAAAGCAGAGCGACGCTCCACAGGGCGAATCATAAGCGAAGCAGGCGGCCAGTCGAGTGGGGTCTGCGAACAAACAGACCGGTTTTATAATTTTATATGAGCTCTTGGACTTCGGCTAACACAAATAGAAAGATATAGAAAACATTTGTGATTAGTCAAAAGATTAGGCTTCAAATAAATATGCCACCCAATGCGGAGCTGGAGGCCTGGCGCATTTCGGGCATATCCCGCACATATCCCAGCTATCGCAGACATTGGCCCATCATTGACGAGAGGTGCGTAGCTCGACATAGTTATAGATTGGTGTTGGACCATATCCCAAGGGTCACTCACAGTTGCCCCGCCCTTGCAGCTGGCTGGAGGGCAAACACCGAGACGACGAAGCCGAGGGCCTGTGGCGCATTAAAGATAAGCTCTACGATTTGACGGACTTCGCGCAACGGCATCCGGGCGGCGCGTTCTGGATCGAGTGCACCAAGGGCACCGATATAACCGAACCCTTCGAATCACATCACATTGAGGAGCATGCCGAGCGGATGCTCAGCAAATTTGAAGTGCGCCCAGCCTCGAAGCCGCGAAATTATATGTTTACGCTGGAGCAGAATGGCTTCTACGTGACCCTAAAGAGGCGAGTGCGAGCGAAGCTGCGAGCGCTTAATTATCGACCCAGCTATAAGACAGATGTGAGTTTAAAAAAAGAGAAAGTAGTTTTTAGTATATTTTGATTCAGGTTTTCTTGGAATATCTTCTAACATATTTCTCGTATATTTGCAGCTACTTCACACCGGCATCCTGATCTCAGTGCTCCTCTTCAGCTGGGCCAGCACAGTCCTGGACTCCTTGATATTGCGTGTCTTTGCGGGCCTGGCGCTTTGCTGGTTATCCACCTCGGCGCACAATTACTTCCATCAGCGTGATAATTGGCGCATGTATAGCTTTAATCTAATACTGCTCAACTTCAATGGCTGGCGCATATCGCATGCCCTTTCCCATCATGTTTATCCGAACTCGCTGCATGATCTAGAAATGTCGTTCTTTGAACCCTTCCTCTGCTGGGTACCCGGTCGCCACTATGCGAGCCGGCCACAGCGTCTGATCTCCGTGCTGATATCACCTTTTATATATACGGTCATGAGTCTAGTGCAGTTAACACAACGGTTAGTTTTCCTCTAATATAAAACTTTCGTATGAAGCCATATTTATTTATATTTCCTTTACAGTGTGGTCTACTCGCTGCTCAAAACGAATGTTATGTACTGGCACGATCTTTTGGGCTTTACCTTACCTGCCTTTCTCTATATCTCGACAAGTGTGGGTCTTGGCTCCGCGATCACTAGCTGGCTTATTATTTTGGGCCTGGCCAGCTTCCTGTTCGGCTTCATCGGCCTAACCGCAGCTCATCATGATCCACGCATTTATCACGACGGCGACGCCACGCGCTCTGATCGCGATTGGGGACTCTATCAGCTGGATACGATCATTGATCGTGGCGACATCAAGTGGTCCGATCTACTGGTGCTCACCCATTTTGGTGAGCATGCACTGCATCATATGTTTCCCACTCTGGATCATGGTGTGCTGAAGCAGCTCTATCCGGAACTGCAGCAGACCTTGCGCGAGTTCAAGTCTGAGCTGCGCGAAATCAACCACTGGGGTCACATCAGGGGTCAGACCCAGCAGCTGTTGCGTATGGAAACGAATCCGATTCCACCGGGCAGCAAAAAATTTAAATAGTTTAATTGCTGATATAATTGTCGTGGTGATTGGGTGAGCTTTGATATGGCCTCCAATTAAATATATGTTCTTCTGTGTAACTAGACGAGTAAGTAAAAAATGTGTTTCCAACAATTATAAGAGAGTATTGTTCTCTTTATCAGCTGGACAAATGGGCATGATAATAAAAAGAGTTTAATTATATTGCTATATATTATTTTCTCTCTCTCTCTCTCTCTCTCTCTCTCTCTCTCTCTCTGTGCTCCTTCTCTCTGTTCTTGACCGCTGTGTTCTTTGTTCTTTGATTTATCTTCGAAATTATGTTTGACAAATATTATCCCCAGTAACATAGGGATCGAGCTGTATACATATAGCTAGTAACATTCTCTTAATCGCCAGGAAGAGAGTTTGGCATTAAGAGATAGGATTTTCTTAGGATTGCTCTTTTGATATTTCAAAAGAGGTTTTTGATTTGATAAAACGAAAAATATATATATATTTTGATGGGTAAAGGGAAAAATTGAGAACAAATTACAATTAAGAGAGAGAAATGAAAGTAAGAGAGAAATGGAGAAAGAGAGAATTGAGAGAGAATTGTCAAAATAAGATAGCAAAAGTTTGTGCTATATCATTCTGACGCTACACACAACATATTTTACTTATTCCTAATGGGAATCAACAATTTGGCCAATCGAGATATTTTTAAAATTTACAATAAGTATGAGTAACAAATAGGTATAGTCCGACTAGAAAATACCCTACAGTATGCAAATTGTATCTTGGAATCGATATTTATCGATTTTGAAAAATTCAAAGAGAAAATTTACCGTGTTAAGCGGTCAAGAACTACGAAGGTCTACAAGCTTAATCAATATCCTCTAGACTCAGCTTGCCGTCTTCATCAAGTATATACAGATGTTCTACCTTTTGCGCATCCGGATAGACCTTTAATATACCCGCTTTTAGTCATTTTTAATGGTTACAGAACAGAATTATAGCTAGCCGAAGCTTTAATACCCTGTAAGACACACTGACTTCAATATAGAAAGATATTAATTATAAAAAATAACTTTATATGCTTGTATATTATATATATACAGTTGTTATTATGTAACCCATCCATTGTACAACTCACGTAGCCCACGACTGAAGTTAATGATAGGCAAAAAATCGGCGGACGATCGATAAGCGACTCGTTTGGCATTGGTTATAAATAGACTGCTCTGGGGCTACAGTCGCGTAGTTAAGAATAAAGCGTTCCACCGCACAGTCGTCAAGCAACATGGTTGGGTTACGGTTGAGCATAGTTGGGCTCTGCCTGTTGATGATCGCATTGCCCGCGCGGGGCGCCAACATTTTGGGCCTGTTCAGCAGTCACAGTCCATCGCACTTGATACTCCACATGTCAATGATAAAGACGCTGGCCGAAAATGGACACAATGTGACCGTGGTGACCATGATGAAACCCACTGTCACGCACAAAGATATACACGTAATTGTGGTGCCCTTGACGGATGAGCAGGAAGAGCTACTGGAGAGCCAAATGAATGAAATGGCTGGTCAAAAGAATTCGGTCATCGATACCATGCGGCGTCTGATGAGCGGCATGAGGGTGATGGTTGACTCACAGCTGGAGCTGCTGTCGGATCCACGCTTCCAGCGCATATACGAGACCAAGTTTGATTTAATGTTCATGGGCTATTTCATCAACGATTTTCAGCTGGGCGTGGCCGCCAAGCTGCAGGTGCCGGTAATTATCTCCTGGATGCAGGCGCCCATGTTGGCCGTTGATGAGCTTGTGGGCAATCCCACAGAGACTTCGTATGTGCCTAATTTGGGAACGCCATTGGCACGTGGCGAGAAAATGGGCTTTGCCAAGCGTTTGCAGAATCTGGGCATAGAGGTCGTTGTTAGGACTATGTGGACGATATTCGACCGTCGCTTGGAAAAGTACTATAATCAACAGTTTGGTCATGAAGTCAACTTTCCGACGCTGGGCGAGATGAAACGCAACGTTTCCATGCTGTTCACCAATAGCCACTCCATCAGTGAGGGTCCCATCAGGCCATTTGTGCCAGCCGTTGCGGAAATTGGTGGCATTCAAGTCAAAGACCAGCCTGATCCCTTGCCGGAGGACATTGCCCACTTTCTGGAGAAGGCGCAAAATGGTGCAATTTTGCTCTCCCTCGGCACGAACATCAAAAGCACGGCTGTCAAGCCCGAGCTGGTGCAGTCCATGTTCAAGGTGCTGTCAGGCCTGAAACAGCATGTGATCTGGAAATGGGAGGACTTGGATAATACGCCCGGTAAATCGGCAAATATTCTTTACAAAAAGTGGCTGCCACAGGACGACATACTCGCCCATCCCAAGATCAAACTCTTCATCAACCATGCGGGCAGAGGTGGCATCACGGAGGCGCAATACCACGGCGTACCCATGCTGGCTCTACCGATCTTCGGCGATCAGCCCGGCAATGCGGAGAATATGCAAAATGCCGGCTATGGCGTAGCCCTGGACTTGCTGCAGCTCAACGAAGAGAACTTCAAAGCAAATATCCTGGAAGTACTTAACAACAAGCAGTATGCCCTGACCATCAGTCGGTTCTCGCATCTGTACCGGGACAGGCCCCTCACGGCCAAGCAGACGGTGCTCTACTGGACTGAGTATGTGCTGCGGCACAAGGGTGCCCCTCATCTCCAGAGTCCGGCCGTGCACATGGGCATCGTGGCCTACCACAATCTAGATGTTTATGCTGTACTCGCAGCTGTCTTATCCCTTGTCCTGTTCTTAACTTGGCTTGCATTCAAATTCACTTGCCGCAAGCTATGTGGCAAGTCGAAGACGAGCAAGAAAGTGAAGAGACAATGAGCATAAGTAATCGTAAAGTATATTAATTCGTAAGAGTTGTCTGAAATATATGTATTTGAATAAAACCACCTAACGAAACTTAAGCTAAACTCTGTGATTAATATTTGATAAGCATATCCTGACGCCCTGTATGGGAAATATTGTGCCATAACATGGCTGCACTAGAAATATTCAGGGCTATAGAGTATACACATATGTGCTTGATCAGAATGACGCGCTGAATAGAATGTTTGAAGTGCCCTGACTGCTGTGTGCTTCTCAACGTGCGATCACAGAAATAAAAGTCGTAAAGTTAATGGGACAACTCTTAGTTCAAATCACATTTATAGCTCTCTTTTATCAGTTCTTTGTTAGAAAACGATTTAAAGAGAAACGCAAGTGACTATTTAAAGAGAAATGCAGCTGGAATAGACTACTGAAGATAGCATAGCCTCCGGCTTAGACAATGCGAAATTCCATTCATTGAATTAAAATATTTAAGGAAACTTTTGCGATTTCATAAGTAATTCATTTAATCTTAGCCATGAATGAACTTATCAATAAACAATAAATGATTTGCTGTACAGCAGACGTATTTAGCTACAAAAAAAATGTCCGCTCCTAAAGGAGCTTATCAGGCCCTTCGAGAGATAATATTAATGTAATACTGCCCTGTCATCTTGGCGCAGCAAGTGTGTTTGATTAAGAGAGCTTCGACCCGGCGCGAGCTGTGCAAATAAAAGCCGCTTGACTGATCCGTTCGCCAATCAGTTGAGCATGAGGATGGTCCGAGGCAACGTGCTCTTGATGATTCTGGCACCGCTGCTGGTGCTCCCAGATTCGCGTGTGAATGGCGCTAACATTTTGGGCATGTTCAGCACATTTAGTCCATCGCATTTGATAGTGCACATGTCGATGATGCGGGCCCTGGCGGATAGTGGACACAATGTGACCATTGTGACTGCTTTGAAGCCCAAGCTCGTGCCGCATGAGAATATAACACATATCCTGGCGCCGCTAAGTGAACACCATCTGGCCTTCATCAACGAGTACATGGAAAACTTGGCCAAGGAGAAGCGTTCGATGGCTATGACATTTCTCAAGACAATAATAGGAACAGGTCAATTGATGGACAGCCAATACGAGTTCCTGTTACATCCCAATGTGCGGGCACTTCACGAGCAGCCGCAGGTGAAGTTCGATTTGATGATCTTGGGCTTTGTGTTCAATGATTACCAATTGGGCGTGGCAGCCAAGTTGGGTATACCCGCGATTATAAGCTGGGTGGGCGTGCCATTTTCATTTGTCGACGACGTGGTGGGCAACATCTACGATCCCGCGTATGTGCCTAACGTGAATGTGGTTCAGCACAAGCGCCTCCATGCCATGGGCTTCGGTCTGCGACTGCGCAACTACCTAAGCTGGCTGCTGCTCAAAGGCATAGGTCTGGCACTGGATGTACGCATGAACAACTATTACACGTGAGGAACACCCTCCACTTTTCGACGAACTGCATCCTAATCCTTGGCCCCTCTTTTATTTTATAGACGCGCTTTTGGCGAGGATTCTGCTATGCCCAGCTACCAAGATGTAAGGCGTCGCGTCTCGCTGCTCTTCTACAACTATCACTCGCATAGCGAGGGTCCTGTACGTCCCACGGTGCCGCAGTCCATTGAAATAGGTGGCGTGCAGATCAAGGAGCGGCCGGATCCATTGCCTAAAGAGCTGGCTGAATTTATGGCCAATGCCACAGAGGGTGCCATCTTTTTTAGCCTGGGCACCAATGTCAAGAGCTCCTACTTCAAGCCACACATTATGGAGGCTATCTTCCAAGTGCTCGCGCGCCAGCCGCTGCACGTCATCTGGAAATGTGATGATCTGCAGCATAAGCCGGGCCATGCTGCAAATATTTACTTTCACAACTGGCTGCCACAGGACGACATTCTGGCCCATCCGCACACCAAGCTTTTCATCACGCACGCCGGCAAGGGTGGCATTGCGGAAGCCCAGTACCATGGTGTGCCCATGCTGGCGCTGCCCGTGTTTGGCGATCAGCCTGGCAATGCGGAGCTAATGGTATCCGCCGGCTTCGGACTGAGTCTGGATCTGCTCACGCTAACCGAGGACAGTCTGGAGCAGGGCATACGCGAGTTGCTGCACAATCCTGCGTATCGCCAGAATGTCCGCAAGTTTTCCCAGCTGTATCGCGATCGTCCGCTCACTGCTCGCCAGTCTGTCGTCTATTGGACGGAGTACGTAATGCGGCACAATGGTGCCTACCACCTGCAGAGTCCCGGGCTGCACATGGACTTTGTGGCACGCCACAATCTCGATGTGTATGCCTGCCTCCTACTTGCTCTTGCCGTCTCTCTGTTTGTTTTTGTGCTGTCGCTGCGCTGCTTTAAGGCAGCTGCGGCGATTGGCACGCTCAAACGACAAGGTCAAAGAGAATTAGACACCTACATCTAGTTAATCCAATTGATAAACTGCACCCATTACGCGCCGCAATCAGACACATAATGCTATAATCGGTACATATATATATATATACTTTTTTATATATAGAACCACACAAGTATCAACAAGTTGCCAACACTCCTATTAACTATTAATAGGCGCATTTTTCTCTCTTTCCTCACTCCCTGTCTCCTTATCTGGCAGTGTGCAATCACACTGAGGAAAATTACTTAGTAGCTGCTGAAGAATTTAAGAAAAGTGTCTTACTATTGCTCTAATATATATAGTATATAACACTTTTAAATTAAAAACCAAAAAAGTCAATTAAAAAACCTTAATGTTGAATGGGTTGTCTGCAAAAATTGATACCTGGGTAACTGGGTTCTAAGATTGTAAAATTGTAACATATGATTTAAGAAGAGTCCGAAATGCAGATTTAAGAAATGGGTCTTATTTTATATTTAACAAACACCTTTTAGATGTTTCAAACATATATATCCTACATATTTTAATCGAAAAATTATACAGAAAAGTTGATGAACAGGGAATAATATTTAGAAACTTTAGGCGAAAAAAACGGTATGCATAGTAAACTTACAAGCCATTAAATTCCAGGTTTTTCTATATAAAAACAATGTTTTAGTCTAGTTTACCTTCAGTGCACTTTGCCTGTTGTACTACCCCAAGTTTTACTATAATTTCGAGATAAGCCCCTACGTGATTATTTGAGTGAGTTAATCAAAAAGCAATGTCAAGTTTTGTTTGCCAATTAAGCAAAAAACGATATAACGAGCTTAATTTTTCTGTAAGTTACTCTCTCTTTCTCTCTCGTGCTCTCAACGAGCAACTTGTGCCCTCAGTGCAATATTTTTACTATTCTCTGAATCATATCTCGATTCTCGAACAGAGCCGGTTCTCAGTCTCTCCGCTGCCATCGAAACGCGCAAGCCGAACGCGAATGCGCTTCATTTTGGTTTGTTTTCTTTATATACAAGCTGTTTTTCGCTATGCATTTATAATTTGCGAATTCGATTGTTGTTTCTCTGACCATATACACACATATATATGTATATATACATAAATTTTGCGTGCGCGGTATGCGTACAAAATGAAATATTATAACTTACATATGTATATACTTGATATGAGGAATTGATTCAGAACTTTGTCTTATGTATTATGTATATCAAGAGCCCATTAATTCAAGTCAAGCTATAAATTAGTCCCATTCCTCATGTATCCTACAGTTAAGACTTCTTGTTAAAGTGGTTCCAATTTCTTAAGTTTCCAACTGGATTTCGCTTGGCATTACGAGTTCACTTTATGTTTATGTGATAGCGTCGAGTTGATCGTTTGAAATTCAAGAGGTAGCTGATACCCTGTACCCTGTAGCAACATGTCTCTGTGTATTTACAAATATAGGACGTGTGCTTTTTACCTATCGATAAAGGTCGACAGCAGACCACAAATCAGGAATAATTCACACTACTGTTGCGTGTATGGAAGAACAAATGCTTGTTTCGGCAAATGCAGCTATTAGGGTATCTGCTAGTCGGGCATTGCCGACTGTAGCATTCTCATGTGTAGCATTGCATGTACAACATTTACAGAACGCAACGATAACGTGTTTGGCGATTTAAGTTCCCTTATCAGGAGGCATCAAGGCTTCAGTTTGTATAAATAAAAGTACTTAAAACAGAAGTTGACATGGCGCACCAGGGTGGATCTTTTCTGACCGGCACATTTGCGTGCCTGTTGCTCGGATTCTTTGTGCTCCAATCGCCGGCTGTGGAGAGCGCTAATATATTGGGCGTGTTCGCCAGCCACAACCCATCGCATCTGATAGTCCACATGTCCATTATGAAGGCGCTGGCCGAGGAGGGTCACAATGTGACAGTGGTGTCAACCTCACAGCCAAAGGTCACCCACAAGAACATCAAACACGTTGTGATACCCCGGAGCGAGGCCGAGGAGAAAGTAATACGCGATGGATTGACCACATTGGCCAAGGAGAAACCCTCGATGGTTACGACGATCAAAAATTTGTTTGGTTCGCTCTCGACTCTCATCTATAAGCAAGTCGACGTGCTGGAGGATAAACGCTTCACCGATCTCTACAAGAACAAAGGCAATAAATTTGATGCAGTTGTCTTGGGATTATTCTTCAACTTCTATCAGGCGGGCCTCGGTTCCAGATTCAAGTGTCCGTTAATTGTGAGCTGGGCGGGACCACCGATGGTGCGTATCAATGATGCTGTTGGCAATCCCGAACTGATCGCCACGGTGCCCGGTATTAATGTGGCCGTTCTGCCTGGCCAGGCCATGAACTTTAAGCAGCGTCTGGCCAATTTTGGTAGCTCCATGGTCTTCCGGCTCTTGAGCTTCTATCTGGAGACGTTAAATGCGCAGTTTTACGAGTAAGTAACAGTTCCTTTTCTATTTATGTTGACTGTTTGACTAACTGTCTGAGATCAAGGTACCAATAAAATTTTCTTTTCTTTCATAGTAAGTGAACACCTAAAAGGGGTTTAGAAAAAGATATCTCGGAAAGGTTGATGGTGAAAAGGTCCTTTGAATATGTTTGTAAATATACATTGATTTTTCGATCCACCAGCTAGCTGGGTGGAAAATGATAATCCTAGATTTATGGGCGGGTATTTATTCAGGTATTCGTTCAGTTCCAAGCTTACAATATAAGTATAAAATATTATTGATATATTTTATAGATAATCTATTCACAAAATCAGACAATGGGCGGTAACTAGTGCAAGGGACTTATTTAGATTCCTTCGATCTGCTATTATTCAATGATTTTTGTAGTATGTTCGTTAAAAATTAATTTTTATTCAAATAACATGGCTTAAAACCGTGTAATTCCTGATGTTACTTCTAAAGATTGTTATTGATGAGTTTTAACTTTACAGGCGCCTTTGGGGCAAGGATCCGGCCATGATGAGCTATGAGGAGGCCAAGAAGAACATATCTCTGGCGTTCTGCAATAGTCATGCCATCAGCGAGGGACCTATCAGGCCCAATGTGCCTGCGGTTATTGAGATTGGCGGCATACAGATTAAGGATAAGCCCGATCCCTTGCCACAGGACATAAAGGAGTTCTTGGACAGTGCCAAGCATGGCGCAATTCTCTTCAGCCTGGGCAGCAATCTTAAGGGCGATCACATTCAACCAGAGCTCATTGGCAAGATATTTGAAGCGCTCTCCAGCCTCAAGCAGAATGTGATCTGGAAGTGGGATGATCTTAAGAACTTGCCCGGAAAATCGTCTAATATTCTCTATAAGAAGTGGCTGCCACAGGACGACATACTCGCCCATCCCAATATTAAGCTATTTATAACACACGCTGGAAAAGGAGGCGTGGCCGAGTCTCAGTACCATGGCAAGCCCATGCTGGCGCTCCCTGTATTTGCCGATCAGCCTGGAAATGCAGACAAGCTGGTTCAGGCCGGATACGGGCTACGCGTTGATTTGTTAACCCTGGAGGTGTATGAGTTCAAGGGTGCCATCAATGAGATACTCAAGAATCCCAGCTTCTCCACTAAAGTTCAACAATTTTCCAAACTCTATCGCGATCGTCCCATGTCGGCACGCGATTCGGTGATCTACTGGGTAAACTATGTGCTCCGTCATCATGGCGCCGGCCACATGCAGAGTCCCCTCGTCCATATGAACTTTATTGCGAGCCACAATCTGGACGTCTATCTATTACTTACAACGATTCTTATTGTTATCGCCTTGATAAGCACAGTTGTGATCAAGTTCTTCTGGAGGAAATGTTGTGCCGGCAAAGGTAAGTCGCAAAGGACTGACCAAAAGCCAAAGATCAAGAGGCACTAATATATAGTACTTATTATAAATAGAACAGTAAGATTTGATTTATTTTAATAATTGTAACTAAACTAGAAATAACGACAATTAATTACGATGTGTTGACACACGTAATAAGTAAGATTGCTCTGTCAAAAAGAATTTTCATAACATCTACATACTATAAAGTAAAAACATGTTATCCTTAACTAATCTTTGAATTCGTTATAAGATTAAAATATAATCTTTAATAAATGGGCACAATATCGGGTTGTTGCACGTGCTAAGCTTGTGTGTTGCGATCGCATGGAGCAAGTCTTTGCTGAAAAATTTCGTAGACTTTGGAATTTTAAACTACACACATTTATGTTTGAGTAAAATTGTTTGTTATGCATATGCATAAGTATTATATGCATATTGAAGGTGTATTGTACAATAATGAAATGCCAAATGCCTCAATCAATGAATCACTAACTAAGTTTTTGGGAAAAGTGAGTAAAGAGAACTAAGCTCCAATTCCATAGATGTATTTCCCTATGATTATTGTAGCCATAAAATTTCCTGAGATGGCAAGTGCCATAATCATCAATTTATTGCCAGTTATAACAATGTTTTAAGGTCAGTTTGTTCTCAGTGCATTTTGCTTGCTGTTATATAGCTTGCGTTTTTGCTACCTCAAGTTTTACTATAATTTCGAGATATGTAAGCCCTTACGTGATTATTTGCAGTGAGTAAAACAAAGGGCAATGTCAATTTTAGTTTGCTATTTAGGCAAATAACGATATAACGAGCTCTATTTTATTTGCTTAAAGTGGCTCTCAATCCCTCTCTATTTCTCAGCGACCAATTATTTCTCTCAGTGCATATAATTGACTCGCATCTGTCCAAACGATTCTCGACCAGACCCGGTCCTCAGTGTCTCCGTTGCCATTGAAACGCGCAAACCGAACGCGAATGTGCTTAATTTTGGTTGGTTTTTTTATAGTTTACGAATGCGATTGTTGTTGTTTTTACCTTATGCATATATATACATGTCAATATAAATATATACATAGTGCCGCGCGTTATGCGTACAAATGAGAAAAATTCAAATTATATACGAGATATTTAATTGCTTTAGAACTGTGACTAATGTGTGTTATTAATTAGTTATTGGCGATTCGTGCAATATATCAAAAGTTTATGAATTTAATTCACCCCGTTGACATTGCAGGCTGTGTATAAATTAACCCTATGCTCCATATACCCTACAGTATTTTTAGTTAAAGTGGCCAATTTCATAAGTTTCCAACTGGATTTCTCTTTATATTACGTGTTCTTTATGTTTTTGTGATAGCGTTAAGTTGTTCGTTTCGAAATTCGAGAGGTAGCTAACAACAAATATAATAATAATAATACCCTGTACCCATTAATTGGTAAATAGTAGGGTATATTGCAGTGATACAAATTCTTGAAAACGACATTTGCATAGGCTAGGCTACTTTTTTCGGATTAAGAATATATATAATTGATGCGATTTAGCCATATGCGTCTGACTGTCCAATCACAGAGACTTTAAGGGGCAACGTTAAGTTAATTTAAATTTACCGATAGCTCAGTCATCGGGATCGATAAATATCTATTTGTTGCTCCGATTATAAACATATCCGTAAGGTTAAAATAGCCAAACGTTCCAAAAAAGACTTCCGCGAGCCTCTCGGAGACTAGATATATTTATATAACTGAACAACTATTAAGGGAATAGCCCTGATACCATATTTTAACCCAGAAAGTTTCATAAGGATCGGACAGTAAACAATTTTTTAAGAATCAATTTAATATTGGCTTTCTGCGATTGTGCCTGTATTTTTATCGGCAGTTCGCTTCGCTTGTTTCGACAAATATAGCTAGTACAGGGTATATGCTAGTCGGGCACCATTAGTTAAGGCCTTCTCACATTTACAGAACGCACCGAAAACGATAACGTGTTTGGCGATTTAAGTCCCCTTATCAGGAGGCATCAAGGCTTATCAGACGGCCGGTCTGAGGCGAAGCGTTTAGTTTATATAAATAAACGTACTCCAAACAGTACACTTAGTACCACATAAGCCCTCCGCAGAGACGTTGACATGGCGCACCAGGGTAGATCTTTTCTGACCGGCACATTTGCGTGCCTGTTGCTCGGATTCTTTGTGCTCCAATCGCCGGCTGTGGAGAGCGCTAATATATTGGGCGTGTTCACCAGCCACAGTCCATCGCATCTGATAATCCACATGTCCATTATGAAGGCGCTGGCCGAGGAGGGTCACAATGTGACAGTGGTGTCAACCTCACAGCCAAAGGTCACCCACAAGAGCATCAAACACGTTGTGATACCTCTGAGCGCAGCTGAGGAGAAGGTCATAAGTGATGGCATGACCGTAATGGCCAAGGAGAAGCCCTCAATGATTACTACGATGAAAAGTTTATTTGGTTCGCTCTCGATGCTTATTTACAAGCAAGTGGACGTGCTGGAGGACAAACGCTTCACCGATCTCTACAAGAACAAAGACAACAAATTTGATGCAGTTGTCGTGGGTTTCTTCTTCAACTTCTATCAGGTGGGCCTTGGTGCCAGATTCAATTGCCCGTTGATTTTGAGCTGGACCGGAGCGCCCATGGTGCAAATCGATGATGCTGTTGGCAATCCCGAACTAATCGCCACGGTCCCCAGCATGAATGTAGCTGTACTGCCGGGCCAGGCCATGAACTTTAAGCAGCGTATGGCCAATTTTGGCAGCTCCATATTCTTCCGCCTCTTGGGTTTCTATCTGGACATCTTAAATGTGCAGTTTTACGAGTGAGTAACAGTTCCTTATCTTTTTATATGGACTGATTGATTAACCTAAACCCGTAAAAACTAGAAGGCACAATTTATATTGTATTTTCCAAATGTGCCAAGCAATTATCTCGGGGTTATCGGCAAATTTCACCCTCAACTGTGGAAAACGATTGTATAAAACCTTTTGGTTTATCCACCTTTGGGAAATAGCGTGAAGTTCAAGATAAAAGGATATATTTAACCACGTTATTCCTTCATGTTGTTATTAATCATTTTTTTCTTTACTTACAGTCGCCTTTGGGGCAAGGATCCGGCCATGATAAGCTATGAGGAGGCCAAGAAGAACGTGTCTTTGGCGTTCTGTAATAGTCATGCCATCAGCGAAGGACCTATCAGACCCAACGTGCCTGCGGTTATTGAGATTGGCGGCATACAGGTTAAGGATAAGCCCGATCCCTTGCCACAGGACATAAAGGAGTTCTTGGACAGTGCCAAGCATGGCGCAATTCTCTTCAGCCTGGGCAGCAATCTTAAGGGCGATCACATTCAACCAGAGCTCATTGGCAAGATATTTGAAGCGCTCTCCAGCCTCAAGCAGAATGTGATCTGGAAGTGGGATGATCTTAAGAACTTGCCCGGAAAATCGTCTAATATTCTCTATAAGAAGTGGCTGCCACAGGACGACATACTCGCCCATCCCAATATTAAGCTATTTATAACACACGCGGGAAAAGGAGGCGTGGCCGAGTCTCAGTACCATGGCAAGCCCATGCTGGCGCTCCCTGTATTTGCCGATCAGCCTGGAAATGCTGACAAGCTGGTTCAGGCGGGCTACGGCCTACGCATCGATTTGTTCACCCTGGAGGTGGATGAGTTTAAGGGTGCCATCAAGGAGATACTCAAGAATCCGAGCTACACAACCAAGGTTCAACAGTTTTCCAAGCTCTATCGCGATCGTCCTATATCGGCACGCGACTCGGTGATCTACTGGGTTAACTATGTGCTCCGTCATCATGGCGCCGGCCACATGCAGAGTCCCCTCGTCCATATGAACTTTATTGCGAGCCACAATCTGGACGTCTATCTATTGCTTTTAGCGATTCTTATTGTTATCGCCTTGATAAGCACAGTTGTGATCAAGTTCTTCTGGAGGAAATGTTGTGGCGGCAAAGGCAAGTCGCAGACTGGCCAAAAGGCAAAGGTCAAGAAGCACTAGTACTAGTTATTGTAAATAAGACGATATAAGATAATACGACTTTTTTTTAATTGTAACTGAGCAATACAACGACAATAAATTTCGATGTAAATATTACAAATAAGTAGGAATGCTCCGTCACTACAATATCCATTAAAAAACAAGAAAGACGCTTAAGTTGGGAGCTCCCGACTTCTGTATAAGACTTAATATAAGGTTTAATAAATGGGCGCCTTATCGGGTTGTTGCACGTGCTAAGCTTTCGTGTTGCGATCGTTTGGTGTATGTCTCTGCTGCAAAATTCCAATTCACACGAAACGCAGACAGTTAATTTTAAACTACGTACATTCTTGTTGAGTAAAAACTAATTTACATAAAAACCAGCATTAAATATATTTTCAAGTATGCTTGTACAACAAACTCTAGGAGCGTATTTGTTCCTCGGAGCCTGCATCTCGACCAACGGATGGAGCGGAAACCACTGGCTTGTCAGTTGCCAGGAACTTTTGCAAGCTGTCCGGCGTGACCAGGCCGCTGTCGTCTGCATAATGCATGAGATCACAAATGATGGGCGATTCTACGACCAAAATATACTGGCACGTTTTTGGCTCCAGCAAGTACATGGAGACAGCTGTGCCGCTAGTGCTGACGGGAGTGCAGGTCAGTTTAACGTCGACTTCACGTGGCAGACCGCTGCGATCGCAGTGTGTGCCCTTTTCATAGTGATGCCATATAGAGGATGTAAAGCCTGGACGGCGAGCACCCTTGTCGGGATTTGAGCTGGCCCACTGGCGATGTGACTCCTCTGAGAAATAGCCCAGAAATAGTTCAACTTCGCTGTTCTTTTCCTTATGGAATTGGCGCACGTGCCTGCCATAACAGAATTCGTACTTCCACCAGCCGGTGCCCTGCAACAAAGTGCACAGCTATAACAAAGAGATAACGAGGTGAAGCAATTACTTACGCCAGTTAGGCAGTTTTTGCCGGAGATAAACTCTTTAATAGGTGACAGATCGTTTAGAGGTGGTGGCACTGTGCCCGGCGTATTTCTGGATAGCACGATCTGTTGATAATCGTTGTCCACTTCAATATCACCATTGGCCATCAGCTCCAAGATAATTTTGTCGACGTCACCGCTGTACTTGAATGTAACCATATCACCATCCGTCTTGGACCAGAGCTTGGCTGGCGCTTTGTTTTCCTTTGAAACGAGTAAATCATTTTCGCTTTCCTCCCACTCGTTCAGCTCCTGGCGCAGCATGCTGATAGGCTTATGCGGCTCCGTTTGCGAATTAAAGCATTTAATGGATATCTCTTTGGTCTCCTCAGCATGAAAAGCAGGTATGGCACACAAGGATGAGGTCAGGATAATTGCTTCGTAGTTACACGATGAGGTCTCCTTAAATGAATAAATATCATCCTTGCCATGTGGATAGCATACATAGCGCACCATCGTTGTGCGCGGCGCATCGATAATATCGCACATGGTACCATCGGTGAACTCCATTTCAAAGTATGGATATCTGGTATTATCGATTTTCAGAGTCTTATACTTTGGCTTGCCATCAGCTTGCCGTTCGGCCTCCCAATTCTTTTTGGCCAGCTCCGTTTTCTCCTCACTCCACTTGCCCAAATAGTATTCCTGAAATTTAGAATTCTTGCCCTCGCGTTCCTCGTGGTATTGGCGCACATGATGACCATGGCAGATCTCATATGACCAATAGGCCTCAATGCGAAACGAGCAGGTGGGCGCTGAAAAGATCGGCTGCAGTAGTCCAATTGGAGCTGGATCGAAGAATATTGCAATTAGATGAATGCTTGGTTAGGATTGGACACCTCGGCGCCACTTACATTGTTCCGGCTCATTGGTTTTCTCCTCCTCCTTGGGCAGCTCCAGAGAAGGTATCAGACACTCGTATTTCTCCTTCTCTTGTGTATAAAATGTGCGCAGCTGATTGCCCAATTCCTGTATAGTCGTGATATATAGTTACCATATTTTACTATAAATGGAGCTGCAGCCTTGTTCTTACCGGTTCTGCCAATAGATCGGGCACTTCGAAATCTATTTTGTAGAGCACGGAATCATCAAAGTCTTTGGCATCGTGCGCTGCTGCTGCAGCGACTAACAAAATGAGCACCAGCATTATCAGCGACATTTTTTGTTTCCCCTGTGTTGTGCTGTGCATTTTAAAATTTATTTTGTTTGTGTTTTTTTTTACGTTTTTATTTTCATAACACACGCAAATTACACGTCGTCTAGAAAAATAATAAACATCTGATGGGTTTCAGCTGGAAGCAAAATGTGAATGGCATATGTTGACGTTGCACGGTGAATGGCAAACAGTGAGTACACAGTAAATATTTAAAATTTGAATTATATTTGAATTGTATTTGCTTTCGGCTTAACGGGTTTGAATTAACCGCAATTGCTGATTTTTTATTAATTGGGACCACACAAAAGTCGTAAGAAAGCTTTTTTTTCTTAATATAAAAAAAAAATGTTGATTTCCCCAATATAAACAATAATAACTTCTGGGTTGAGAGCCTAAAAAGCTTTTGTTGCTTTATTATTGTACATAAACGTGATAAATACCTGTATAGTTAATATAAATATGCAAATTTCAAGCCTCTTATCCCATAATAAAATTAAAATTAGTTTTTGAACGTATTTTATTTTCATAAATGTATAAAAGTACTTTTCCTATCTGCTTTCCCCTGTTGCATCATCTGACGCCGCTGTCTCACTGTTCCCCGTGGACCAGCCTATTTCCGATTTATGGTCATTATCTAATGGCATTTTATCAATGGCATCGAGTATGAATTTCAGGGAATGCGCTGTACGCGGCAGCCAGTCCATAAATCGCGATGTGGGAGCAGTTGCTGCACTTGGCTCGCTGTCATCCACAAAATCATCGTCGCCGCCCGACATGGAGCGTCCGGCGCCCAAATAATCCTGATAATCGTAATCGCTGGTCAAGGGATTTACTTTGGAGTAGTAAATGGCAGCGAATGTCGAGTAGATGATCAGAAGCGCGGTACCAACCTACGAATTACAGATAATAAATAATACCATTTGCTGCTGTTAAATCCGAATCTCATATTGATGTCATACCTGAAAGACAGCCCAGAACTTGTAGGAACCCTCGGTGATGACGAAATCATAGTAACCCTTGAGCGGATCACCCTTAATGTAGCGCCCCTCGCCCACATCTGTACTCGCTGGCTCCGGCTCCGGCTCACGCTTATGTCGCTGACCGCGCACCGAGCTCTCCGGGACAGCAGCTGCCTTGGCACGCTCGGGTGCTGCTGTCGTCTCCTCGGATTCATCGGAGTCGTTGCTGCTGCCGGTAGAGCTACTGGTACTGCTGCTGCTGCTGGTGGTTCTTAACGTTGTTGTAGTCGTTATCTTGGCCTTTTTGGTCTGATTAAGCTTGGCAAATTTATCGCCGTCGATGCGTGGCGGTTTCTTAGAGTTAATTCTGGACTTTATCTGCTGCTGTTGCTGGCGCAGACGTTGCTTCTGCAGACGCTCCTTCCTTAGCTGCTCGGTGCTCTGCTTATGACGCTCGGAAACAGTACCCCAGGCGCTCGTCAATGCCTGATAGAGATCCCACAACTGTTTAAGGGCTTTTAAAAATGTGACCAGCGTAGATTCCGTGGGCACTGGTGGCGCATAGGACACAGCATTGGCTGGCGCTGGTGCCACCTGCTTGGAGACGGCCGGATCCTGGGGACGCGGCTGAAATCCCATGGGATAGTCGTACACCTCATCGTAGGCGGGATATGGAGCTCTACCAAAATTGTATCGTTAGTTGGATGTTATTCCAAGGATTTGGTGCTTGTTCTTACCGATTGCCCACTGGCTGCAGCTTGCGATTGTCGCTGCCGACGGGTGCTGCTGTCTGTGTGGCGTATTGCCATTGCCCGTAGTAGGAGTCGTGGGGACGTGCCTGCGCCGCCCTGCCCTCGCCTGCCGGCGACTGCTCCTCGGAGGCAGCTGAGCTGTCGCTGCCCAAGTAGGGCTCCTCCGCCGACGACTGCTCGCTGCCAAAGTCAAATGCAGAATATTCAGGGTAAGTCTCATCCTCGTACGATCTACCCTGCGGCGGGCCAAACGAATCCCGTCGCTCGGCCATGGGCGGTTGCGCGCTTTCGGCATTCACAACCACCGCCTGCTGCTCCTCGTAGTAGTTGTTGCTGCGTCCAGTTGCTGCCACTCGGCTGGCATTTGCCGCATCCCTGGCTATGCGCTCCACAGTGGCGGGAACTGCGCCGTCCGATTCGTTTGTGGCCGCTCCAAAATGCGACCACAGACGCCGCACAATGAAGACATCAGCCAGGCGATGATCCGCCGGTGACTGAGCCCGACCCGCCTCCAGCAGGGCCACGCCCGTCAGGGTCAGCGCAAAGAGCAGCATGGCCAGCAGCAGAGTCCACAGGCCGGGCGTACATTTGCGCTGCGGCTTCGTTGACATATCAGAGTATCCTATCATTCTGTATGTGTATATGTTTGTAGTAATCCTTATTCCTAATCCTTGTCAGCGACGTGCCAGCTGCCGTTCGGCTGGGTGTCCACACGTAAACTAAACGCAAAACTTCACGCGATGTGCCAGAAAAACTCAATCCAAAACCCAACGATCTAGGCATATTTTTCGATGTGTGTGTGAGTGTGTGTGTGTGTGTGTGTGTGTGTGTGTACGGTGCTAATGCAGAGAAATGTATGTGCTAAAGCCCCGTAAACTCCCCAAATACTCGCATTGGTATCTAGAACATCTTCGTCTCGACGCAGCCTCGTTGAAAGGTGTTAATCTGTGGGCCGCGTATTGCATGGATATTGGGCCAGTGCTCCAGATTCGATTTAACGGTTCATTCGACTACGAATGCTACACCAATTATCATCCCCAATACATACAGATATTAATAAATATATATATATATGTATCGATCCATTCATTTATGCATAATCCCAGCGCCACAATTTACTCCACGCGTCTTCACTTGTTTACCACAAATTCTTTTTCGCGGTGAAAGTGCGCATCTTGAGATCCGCCCAAGCTCTTCGTCCCCGAACCCCCGAGGGGGTTCAAGATTGAGATCAAAGTCGAGTCGATCATTTGCTGGCAATACCAATAATCAAGAGCTGGTCCCGGTTCTGGCGTGTGGCACACGTATTATCACATTCCACATCAGATTTTACATGGTTAAACATAAAATTACATATATGTCGGTATTCCATATGGAGAACTGAAGCGTGGCTCCTTCATTAAAGCTGAAGAAAGAAATCTGCCGAGGCAAAGTGTGTTGGCAATGTAGATGTTACCTTTAACTGCATGACATCTATCAATAGATAACATCTAGTTAGAATAAATTGAGGAAAAAAAACTGAAAGGAAAAGTCGAAGCTAAAATACACTATATAAAAGCTGCAGCATATAGAAATCTTATTATTATATTAATTTTTCAATTATTTTCGTGGAAGTCCTGGTGTTACAGAACACAGATCCAGTTGGATCTGTGTACGATGTGCTCTCAATTTTAATATGCAAAATATTTAATTTGCATTAAAAATAAAAATATATATATATACATACAATAGGAGTCGAAAGAGTTCTCTCGAATCCCTTATTACCCGCTGTAATCCTGTCGAAAACTGGAATATATTTTATATATACCCAGAAAAAATTCGAATATATTAATTATTAAGGCATAATTCAAGCTGAGTTCGGAAAAGAAACGAATATTAATTATTATTTTAATTATATTGTTTCTAAGCTGATCAGCTAAAACATAAAAACGACTGAGATTTAAGTATTATAAGTATCTGTATTATTTAGTTAACGAAAATTCGAATGATACATGAAAATTGTTATTATTATATTTATTATAATAAATATTGTTCTTGAAGTGATTCTTCTAGAAGCGCTTTAAGTACTTTTATCGCGTTTTTCAATCATAATAATGAAGTTATTTCAGATTATGTTTGCTGCCGAACAAGTGTGAAAAACTAGTTTTGTTAGCTTTGCAACATTTTGTGATCTTCTCATGACACTTTCGAAAGAGTTGTGCCTCGATTGGAGATTCGAAACTAGAAAATACGTGTTCAGAGCAGAATTGCCTTGTAACTTAACTATTCGATACGATACGCAGTAAAAAAGTAAACAAATATACATTGTGATAAGGTCGAAGTGCCTGCATGATAATGATGATCATAATGATGATGAATAATATGCGCCACAGTCAAAGAAACACCTGATTAACAACCTCTTGTTTGTTGTTTACCAAATATCAACAAATGCGCAGTAAAAATACCGGCAAATTGAGCGAAAAGCCGGCGAAGAGAACGTTATCATTAGGGTGGACCTGTTTCACATTAACTATTATCTGAATTTACGACCAATTGCCTTGGTGTCAGCTTTATGATATGGTAATCAGATGGAGAGGGAAGAGTATGGGTTAGATATTAAAAAAAATTATATATATACATGATATAGAAATTCAATCAAGACTTATTGGCTTTATAAACTCAAGTCTAGAAAATATATGCATATACTTTGGAGCAGAAATATCTACTTCTTTGAGTCCCTCTCTGTAACCCAATAAAAATAATTATTTATAAATTTCAATATACTCTTGATGTTCCAAACAATATATATTTTTCAGAAGCAAGAAATGCTGAGCTTAGCTTAACGACTAAACAAATAGATTATCAAACCCAACCTTAGGTCCTCTAAGGTTTATTTCTATATATATAATAGTCAATATACAATAGTCATATATATATTAAAGTATTAAAGTATTTTAAAGTATATATTTCTACTTTATGTATAGTTACTTATATCTTAATACAACAATATGTGGTTAATATATCTAACAGGTTGTAAGTATCTATGTAAATAATAGCATTACTTTCTCCCTCTCTTGCCTTTCACTTTCATGCATTTTTTTAGTTGTAATCAAAATTCGATACGGTTTCCTTTTACTTATTTATCGTAACGCAAGCATTTAGTTTTTGCACGCCTTTTTGTTGTTATTGGTGTTCACCAGCTTGGTTAAAATTTTCCTCGAATGTCCCGACGGATCGAAATGATTGGTATGATCGCTGGCTTCCTTCTTGGAGCGCTGCTTGCCGCTGTGCGCGGTGAAGATGTGTTTGCCATGGTCGTAGTTGTAGTGCTCGTATTGGTCGAAACTCGCCTCAGACATGTTGATTTGTTGATATTGCGACTACTTGAGATTATTATTTGGGCTAGTCAATTGGCTCGGTTTTTGCTTTTCCGGGGATACGTCGCGTCGGTTTGAGTTCTGCTATCACAATGACTTTGGCTACGTTTTCGAGCATCTGAAGTAAGCTTCGACGTGCTTGTTGTCACCATCTCGAACACTCTATCTGGAAACGACTATTTCGCTCTCTTTCAATCCAGTTTGCCATGCTTTAGTCTTACTTTTTTGCTCTTTGGTTCTCGCAAAGCTTTTTAACGCTGCGCAAATTTGTTTAAATGGGTATGCTTATTAAACAGTATGCATGATTATTAAATAGCTTCTAAGCTCTGCTATTAATTAGCGTTGGTTTATAGACATCTAAATTGTTAATTTAATAAACGAATAGGAAAAATTAATACTGCTACAGGATTTGAGCCGGCGTCCTCCCGCTTGTTGTATTTTAGAGTATTTATATAAGTACTAGCGACGTCTCTCGTGTAGTTTATTTTCTAGTTGTCTCTAGTTGCCTCTATCATCAATTAGATTGCTAAATCAGCATTTTGTGGCATTCGCTCGTTTAAACACAGTCACAGGAACAATTTTTACCAAGCTAAGCATATTAAAATTGACTAAGTGGCGCAGACGCCAAGTTAAATCAGTTTAGTCTGCTATTTCATTGGTTGCACTCAGTTTCCTGCACGTCTACGACTTTAATCAATTGCATCTTTTGGCAGCAGCGTCTTTAACCGTTTTACACTTGGTGTCGTCACATCTGTCGTAATTTTGCGATTCTGTCGAGTTGTCTCCGTGACATTGCTATCCTTGACACTTCCCACTGGCAAGGCATTCATGGGCGGCAGCGCAAAATCATCGGGCATTTTATTTTCAAACGAGCAGTCTACTGTCTCCGGCAGCTCTAGCTGTACCGCTCTTTCCGTATGCACTCGCTGCACATGCTCTTTCATTTTGTCCGAGCGATGGCTACTGAAGCCGCACAACTGGCACTTGTAGCGATTGAGGCCGCCTTCGGTATGCTTTAGAGCATGTCGCTTTAGGTTCTTGCTCTGACTAAACTTGCAGCCGCAAATCTCACAGATGAAATCGCGCCCCTGTTTGTGTGTCTCGATGTGGAGCTTCATGTTCTCCTTGCGATTCGCACGATGCTTGCAGCCAGGGACAGTGCAGGCAAAGAACTCGCCAGTGTGCAGGAGCTTGTGACTCTTGAGAGCCTTCATGTGCGTGGTGCTGTAGCCGCAGACATCGCAGAGCATCTGCTTTTCGGGATTGTGGACCAGCATATGATTGCTAAGGCCCTGTTTCCACTTGAAAGCCTTGCCGCAGTGCGTGCAGACATGCGGTGTTTCCGTTGAATGCTTGGGCTGATGGACGAGCAGAGCAGCCCGAGTGTTAAAGCGATTGTCGCACTCCAGGCAAAAGAAGGGCTTGCGCCGATCGGAGCCATGTCTGCGCAGATGCGCATCATATTCGCGCCAATCCAGAAAGCCAATTTCGCAGAGCGAGCACGTCAGGTGCGAGGGCTCACAGCTAGTCATGTGGTCAATCATCTTCTGCACCTGATAGCACTTGAAATCGCAGCCAATGCAGTAGTTTATTTTGCTGCTGGACTTGACGGCGCGCGGATTTTTGAGCTACAATAAAAGAAACCTTTTGTAAAGATGTATCCATTATTTTGGCTTGTTTCCTACCTTAAAATAACTCTGTTGATTTTCAAAAACAACATCCGGCTTTATAGCAGGCTGCATAATATCCTCCGCATCGCCCTTAACGGCACTTGGCTCCAGGCACGCGGTAACGTCGCTGGCCTGTTCTATTTGGTACAGATTGAGCAACTCGGTTACAGACAGTATCTTAGCCAGCTCGCGAAAATGCGCCTCGTGCTCCTTGGAAACGGAGACAATGTCCTCGTAGAAGAAGTCCACGATGGTGTGCAAGCACACGGTGCAGTTGAAGTTGCGAATAGTGACTTTAAGTGGATTCTGCATTGAGAACTGTTGTTGTTTTTGCTGTTTGAGGCCAATGAGCTGGCTTTGAGCGGCCACCACGCAAAAGTGGACGCTGCATGTGCAGGACGCATCATCCGAGTCTAGTTCCAGCTGCAAGTCACAAAACTGTCCCGTGCGGCGTTGATTGTTTAAATAGTTGGAGACCTTCGAATGCAGCGGTTGGTGCAAGGTGGGCTGAACAATTGGCGTTTGCAGCATTGCATTAAAGTTTGTTTTATCCGTGTATACAAGCAATAACAAAGATTGTAAACAAGTCGATGTGCTGCTAAAATCAGCTGTTTGCTGCAATTTGACATTCGCTTGTTAACGTTACAGTATGAACCATTCACATTTGACGCGCGCAATTTAAAAGCTTTGCATGACACGCTAATCAACTTATACGTTATTTTCAAGTTGTTGTTTTCGTGTTTACTAAAGTGTTTATACGAATCTTTTAAAAATGTAAGTTAATTTGATATTATATAGCAACTGGCAAATGTATTTTGGCCGGCAGGAGCAGCCTTATCATTTTGTTTGCCGCAGTGATAAGAGATTTTAAGCGTTGGTGGAAGCTTCGTTGGAGCTGCGACTGTCTGCTCAGTCGTGCCGAGCACAGTGAAACGAACGGGCGTTTTAAGTGATAGACAAAGGCGAAATCAACAACAATATATAGACTATATATACATCAGCGTAGAATCGTAGAAAATGGAAAGGTATAGTATAATATATCACTGCTTAGCCATTTATAATAGTTCAACTCTTACAGCATTTGGCAGGAGAGCATATCGTTTTTAAAGACCCTGCTGTGCTTTATGGTGGCACTTATGCTGTTGCCATTGTTGCTGCTATCATTTGTGTGTAAGTAATAAAGTTTTCCGATCAATAAACGGGCACTCGCTGACCCAGATGGGGCCATTAATCAAATAGATCAAACAGGCCGGCTATAAATAAACGAGGCATGGGTTGACTAACCGCTCATTCAGCCAAAGGATGCAACGGGTCAGATGCGCCAGCATTATGGGATTCGCATCAATAGCCGTGTAAGCGATAAGGGATGGAGTGGGGGCCGCACTACCATACGCTCATGCCATTGATAAGCTTTGTTTATAAATAATATAGCCGAACAATGCGTCGCTGATTACCTGTTGCACCTTTGCGGAACCCAGACGAGCGACCGACCAGCCTGAACCTTGACCAACCGAATTACTCATAAAAATTTGCCAACGATAAGCCGCAACGTTTGATTTTTATGGGGCGGGTGCGCGATTTGAGTCTTATTCGTGGAACAAGCGCATTATCGGCATGATTAGGTCTATATAGTATCGCTTACATCTCTCTTTAATTTTTGTTTTCTTTACAGGCGCGCATTTAACCAACGAGCTGGCCAACTATGTGCTGAGCATCAAGTATCCCAATCTGACCATATGCAAGTCCAAGAAGATTCGTACACTGATCGATACGCCCAAGAATGCGGGCATCTTTCACTTTCTGCTCCAGGTGGAGGGCAACTGCGATTTTGAGCGCATCAAGCGTGCATATGCGCTGCAGCTGACCGAGCTGAAGGACAAGACGGGCATGATCAAGTTTCCCAAGCTGCGCCAGAAACTGGTCACGTGCTGGGGCCACTATGCTTGGGTCAACGATAACAGGTGAGCCAAAGCACAGCTTCCAAAAGGAACTACTAAGAGCCAGCTGCCATTCTCTACTTGCAGCGGATTCAACATCAACAACCACGTGGTGCTCAGCACGCACCGATATCGCGGACGTCCTGTGAACGAGTCGAATATCCAGGAGCATGTTAGTGAGCTGGCCGCCAAATACATACCCTCAGATTTGCCGCAGTGGCAGGTGACGGTCATACCCAACTCGGACCCGGCACAGCCCTACTATATACTGATCAAGGTGCATCACCTGATCATTGCCGAGGAGGAGGACTTGCATGTGGGCGAGATGCTTTTGCTGCAGGACACCGAACGCAAGCCGATTGTCAGCCTGCAGGATGCAGGCCTCGTTCGGCCAGCGGCCACCAAGCAACTGTCGCACTTTGTGCGTCAGCCGGAGCATATAAGTAAGCTGGTGAATCATGTGCTGCATCTTGTGAGCTGTCGCTGGCAGCAGTTTATCTACGAATTCGAATCTCTGGACACACCGGACGGCGTCAAAGCGCATCCGGATGCACGCAATCTCAGCCAGCTGCTGTCCCTGGTTCTCATCGTGCTGGTCAACGTGTGCCTGGGCTATTGGCGCACTCGCGCTATGCGTCGCAAATGGCAGCGTCGCTCGCCCGGCTATCGCAATGATCTGGGTCTGCTGCAGACTCTGTATCTTCTGCTGCAGCACGAGCTGGAGCAGCGTAATCTCAGCTGGGCGGTGGCACGTGCCGCACTGGGGCATAGCCTGCAGCCAGCCAATATAGCCAAGGCTTGGACGCGCCTCGTCTGGCAGCAGGCACTGCATCACATCATCCTCTTGCCCTACCACATCTACTGTGAGTTGCTGGCGCTGCGCGACGTTGTGATCCGGGGTCAGACCACGTACAGCACCACCTACTGTGCCCGGCTGCATCTGTATGTGCCGCTGTTGATTTATGCCCAGCTGGAGCTGTGCAAGATCTGCTATGAACTGTTCAAGGCACCGCGTAACATATATGAGGTTCTCTTTGTGCAGCCCACCAAGGAGCTGAACATCCTGCACAAGAAGTCCTACGCTGGCCGCAAGATTGTCTCCTTTAGCCGTTCCATCGATGGCGCCCTGCTTCGCGAACGTCATCAGCATATGTTTGGCCAGAAGCTACGCGAATCCGACTTCAGCTTGGCCTGCCTGGCTGGCGCTGTCTATGATTACTTCAATACCTTCTCTGATACTGCGGCGGTGCCGGCGTTGCTGAACACAACTTGTCGCACCATATCCAAGGGTTATTTCACCGATCGCAGTGGCGATAAGTCGTCGCACATTGGCGGTGTGGTCTTTCTGCAGCTGCCACTTGGTTCACCCGACGCTTTGAAGGCGCATCAGCTGCATGCGATTGTGGAGCGCATACGCAGGCAGCAGATCATGATCTATTTGGCCTCCATAGGACAGACCAAATACAGTCTGCTAACGGCGCTGCTGCCCCATGTTCTTACCAAGATCTTCATCAACTTTTTCTCATATAACTTTCCCGTTACCATAACGGAGATCTATGGTGCAGCGGATACACAGTTTCAGGCTGCCTGGGGGCAACGGGTGCAGGATGTACTCCTATTTCGACCACCTCAATCAAAGACTTGTCTCTCCCTGAATCTGCATCGATTTGGAGACAAGTATAGGCTAGCCATTATGGCTGATACCCATCTGGCTCCGGATCACACGATACTTACACAATCCTTTGAGCGTTATATGGAAACGGTGACATTGTAAGACCCATCACTGTATGCCATAGCCCATTAAAAGTGCATGTAAAAATAACGCTGATTTAATCTATATACATAAAACCGTTTGAGCGCGTGACTGATTGACTGACTGACTGGATTCTGATTTAAATCGAATCAGATATCGAACATAACATGCGCGAGTCAAAGTTTATATGTATACATATCTATTTACAAAAACCCATGGAATACGCTTTGCGTATTATTTTGAATGTTTGAGAAATTGCGCGCGCTATTTAGCGCCATTCACACAAAAGTATCCATTCGCTGGCATGCACGGCTATTCACACATAATGAGCGCGCAAAGTTGTGAATGGCAATTGGGTTTGACAGTAAAGCTGTCGGTATTTTCAAAATTGACTGCGTTGAGCTTAGTTCGTAATGGAAAATTAAATGAAGAAAACGCAAATAAAAACCCTAGAATGAAAGCTGCAAGAAAAGGCAGCATTGTGGAAGCCCTATTACCGTTTTTGTAGTGGAGTTAACACGTAGGCGCCAAATACAAACAGAAAGTTTGTATTACAAAGCGCACACTCAATCCATTGCTCGATGGGCTTCAGCTTTCAGTCGCACAGTAAAGCCGGGTCTTGAAGGTCGTACACCCGGGCTACTCGACCGTCGTTCTTTGCCGCGTAAGCGATAATCATATACAGTCGGAGCTAGTGATAAAAGCTAAGCCAGTGCCAGGTCGAAGACAAATTGCCCTTGTTTTACACGTGACTCGTAATTAATTATGACAGCCGGATTTAATCACAATTGAAGCAATTAGCTTTCGTTGTTGATAATCAAATACAAAACATAAACAAACATCGCAATTAGAACATCAATTACAGAATTCGAATTCAAATCTTTGTACGTAGCATGCAATTTGTTATGTTCTTTGTTCTCGTTCCGTCTGTCCATATCAAGTATGTGATCTAATCAAAGCTTGTTACAATTTCGCTGAGTTTGTAGAGAGCGTTAGACAATAGACAAAGTTAATGTAAAGTTCGCACAACGAAGTGAAGTGCGCGTTCATATTTGAATTAATAGAACATCCGGCTTATAGAATGAAACAAAAAAAAGTTTATTAGTATGAAAATAAATTTGAATTAAACACTCCGGTCCCGTAAACGGTACCAGAAAGATGATATTTCCTGAAACTATTGTAAAGGGTATAATGTTTTTGAAGAAATGTATGTAACTGATAGGAAGAAGCACCTTGGACCCCAAAATATGTATAGTCCCGATCAGAACGACGAACTATATTCGAAGATTATAAGAAATAAATACGCCCAACTGTGTAGAAAATTCTCTTATAATATACACAGATTAGGAGAATTGAACATTTTCCAGAACTCCCTTTAAAATTGAAAGAAAAAACTCTGCGCTGTCATATAGATAAACAGATTTACCTGCCATATTTGGAACGGGCCTTGTAAATTTTAAAGGGATCGGATGATAGAAACTAAAGCTATATATATATTCAAGACTTTATGTTCCGTATTTTGTCGCACTGCATATTCAGGGTATCTGCTAGTCGGTCACTCCCGAGTAGAGCACTCTTATTTGCTTTTCGTTTCCTTTTGTTTATGGCACTATTGTTTCTTATATGGCAATATCGGCACTTATGTACATAGGCACCTCGAGGTTTCCAGCGCCGGGCGTCGCATTTGCTTTCCAATAAGAACACGCTCAGCACGCTCGTCGGCAACAGTTGATCTTCGCGAGACACTGACGCAGCCAATTTTCTCGGAACGCAGCTCGAGTCTCGCCTGAGCGTGTGTCTGATGTGCGCTGATTAAGCTTAAACGCAATCAAATCGAATTAGCGATAATTCAGAGCAGAAATGTTGCAACGGATGTTAATTTTGCTGCTCTGCATCTGCCCCGCCTGGACTCAGGAGCAGCCAGTGCTTACCCTGGGCGCCTCTCGCCCGGCTACGGATGCGCTGAAGCTGTGGCTAACGATAAGCGCACGCAAACGTTTCCTGGAAGTCAGCTGGAAGCATGCGCCGGCACGGGACGGCGATCAGGTGCTACTTACTGTACAGGATCCGCACAGCTTTGAACAACGTACCCTGCCCACGGGCACTCCCCTAGCCGCCTTTGGCAGAGACACCGGCAGCGACAGCAACAGCGATAGCGAGGAGAGCAGCGGATCTGGTGCTGACCAAGTGGCATATGTTCCCTTTCACGGCTACACCAGCACGCCCGGCTCAGTCGCCAAGGCTAAGAGTGCGAGCCTGGCGCGCCAGCACTGGATATCCAATGGTGGCAACAACGAGATCGTGGCCGCCATCAAGCCCAGCCTGTCCGCGCAGTGGTTTACCACGGGCGTGCCCTTTGATTATGCGCTCTCCCATAATGTGACCGCGCAGAGCGCCTGCTACGGCTACTGGGCCAGCTATATAGATGCTCAGGGACGGATACTGGCCAAGAGCTGCGTGCGTGCCTACCCCCGCTGGATGCATGAGCTGCGTGACGTAGTGGGTGATCTGCGGCTGCGTGATCTCTTCATACCCGGCACACACGACTCTGGTTCCTATAGACCAAATTTTGATCCACTGCTGCGCGAGAGCTTGGTAACTAAATATGCACTCACCCAGGACGATGACATACGTGGCCAGCTGCTGCATGGAGCGCGCTATCTGGACATACGTGTGGGCTACTATCGACCCGCAGAGGATAAGTTTTTCATTTATCACGGAATTACAAAGCAACGTCCACTGAAAGAGGTCATACAGCAGGTCAAGGATTTTGTGCTGGAAACCAATGAGATTGTCATATTTGGGATCAAAGAGTTTCCCGTGGGTAAGTAAATGTCGAACCTCCCATTGAAAGTCAAAGTCTCAACCTTTTATGCTGACAGGTTTTGGAAAGAAACTGGGCGTGCATCGGCTGCTGGTTAGCTATTTGCGGGAGCATTTTGGTGATCTCATTGTCCATCCATCGCTGACCTGGCACGCCACATTGCGCGACATCTGGAAGCGGCAGCAGAATGTGATACTGGCCTACGATAACAATGAAATCGTGCAGGAGTTTCCACAGCTGCTCTTTGGCGCCGTGGATCAGCGCTGGGGCAATGTGCAGTCCTGGGCGCGTCTGGAGCGGCATCTGCGCTACATCAACGACTTTGATGTGTCGTAAGTGGAGGCAATTGCTGCTACTGCATTGACTACTTGTATAGCTTTATTTTACTACACACAGACGCTTCTCGAGCCGACCAGTGGTGGACATGGCTGAGCTGACGCCAGAAACATGGGATGTCATACTGGACAAGCATGGAGGTCTGCGCAAAATGGCCGACAATGTGAACTGGCGCATTTCACAGCTGTATCAAGATGAGCTGGGCGGGCATGCGAACATTGTAGCCGCAGATTTCATACGTGGCACCACGCTCGTGGAGACGGCCATCGAAATAAACAGGCGCAAGGTCGTGTACTAGGCTGAAGGTAGTTCCAGGCTATAATCTATAAGATCTACTTAAGAAAAGTCATCGCCATATAGACCCGAACAGCAAACAAATTCACAAAGCTGCAGTTTACATTCACGAATAACATTTATTAATTCCATTCGAATAAGCCATGTTTTACAAATTTTGTATATGTTTGGAGTTCAACTTGATAAATATGTTATACTTAAGAACTAGAGTTTTGCTTATAGATTAGTTTTCCCTAAAAGTGTCACAACTGAGGCAAGTACATACGTATACATATATATAAATCTGTATATATAAACTGTGTGAGAAATTCCCAATAACTGTGGATGCTTAGCAAATCAAGAGCTTTAGCTACTGCCAACACTTGAATTAGTACAAAAATAATACAAAAACTAAAAACTATAGCTAGCATAAGCTTTTCCTATTTGGATTTGAGGAATGCTAACGTCTGTGCGAAAATATCATACAAAATGTTTGGCGTGTTTTGAAGTGCCTTGGCTGGAGTTACGCATAAAATATCTGCTTTGTGTGGTAAAATGCATAGCATGGATGTGGGGGAGTGGGGTAGTTGGGGATTATATTACTTCAGCGACTCGTTGGACTCAATGATGGTTGTATTGAAAATAGCGCGGCATAGCTCTACCATGGCATTTGACAGGCGACCGTAGCAGCGGGGCTTCTGCTTCCAGGCAATGCACACATAGTAGAACGGAATGCCGGCCAATGTGATGGCGATGCCAATGAGCAGATTGGCAGGCTCCTTGAAATTGGGCAACAGCACCAAGGTGACGCAAATGGTCATAAAGAGGATGGGCAGCGCCAAATGCACTTTGATAGGCCGCGGCAGATCCGGTCTAAAAAGGAAAGTGTTGAGTCGTGTTAATATTTATTCAAATGATGCTGCAATTAACTTACTTTTTGTGGCGCAGCCACAACATGCCCGCTATGCTGGCCACCACAGAGAGCCACAGCACGGAGCTGAAGTAGTTAATCAGCTCGTACACATTATCGGTTAGGAGCATTAGCAGAGACATCAGACACTATAAGAAAGAATTGTTTATTTAGATAACCAATTTGGGTATTCATGATAGTTAGCTGCTAACTAGCTAGCTTTTGCGTTCACGAATGCATCAAAAGGCAATAAAAATTTAAGCAAAGCTGGCAAGTCAGCCGCCGGAGTAAATAGTCGTAGTTGCATTTAATCTAATGACTTACTGTAAATATCAGAGATGGTATCGGCGTCTGTTGCTTGACATGAAACAGTTGAAAGAACTTGGGCAGATGACCCTCCTGAGCGCCGGTGGCAAATAGACGAGCGGAGGTAAAGAGCACACCGTTGACGCCGCCAAATGTGCTCAGCGCCACGAAAATGGGCACCATAAAGGCCAGCGGTCCAAAGACCTTGTTGCCAAAGGTCACGGCAACAGCCAGCGAGCTAAGCATCTCCGGTTTAGAGACGACAGCGAAATAGGCTAGATTGACCAGCACATAGATGCCCGTGACCAGGGGCATGGCTATCCAAATGGCGCGTGGCAGATTTCTGGGCGAGCAGGGAAAGGGAGAAATAAACAAATAGATATTAGAGAAACCTTAAACGTGCCTGAAACACACTTGAAGATTTAAGCAGCCATATAGCACTTAAGTTGATTGCTGCGCCGCATGGGCAAATTGAATTCATTTGGAGGAAAGCACAAAACTTGGGCGCTTCAGCCACCCAGCCCCAACGCACAGTTACACGCACACACACACACGCACCCCAAGGACACTCAACAAGTGGGCGCCATCAACTTGTTGCTGTCTCCTGCTACGCATGACGTAAATGGCAAACAGTGCAAAAGCCATTTGTCTTCTCGTAAGGCCCATTTGCTTAGTCATGCACTCCCCAACCACGCAACCACCCACTCATTCATTCATTCATTCATTTATTTATTCTATGTGCCTTGTTAAGCTCACTTGTAGGGGTCCTGCAGCTCTTCAGTGACAAAGTTCAAATAGTTCCAGCCGCCAAAGGCAAACAAGCCCGAGTAGAAAGCGTAGCCTATGTTGCGTGTACTGTAACTACCCTCCCAGGGATTGGAAAAGTTGTCCAGCTTGCCAGTGGCCATATAATAAAGGCCAGCGAGTATTATCATTATCAGCGCCAGTAGCTTGCCCACCGTAAAAATATCCTGCACCTTCATGGACACCTTGACGGACATGCAGTTTATGGCTGTGAGCAGACCTAATAGCAGGAATAAGATATATATGAATATATATGTATTCAGCACTCGGATAGATCTCTTATACTCACAGAGGCAAACGGCAGCCAGCAGCTTGACTGCATTTTGCGGCGGATCGCAATCCTCGAAGAACGGTTTGGCCGCATAATGTGCAAAGGTAAGCGCAACAATTGTCTGAAAATAATAATTAATGTGTTATTTATTTTAAATCAAATTGGTTATGTAAAATATATGTATTGAACCTGACTACAAGAATTCGATTTACGGATCAATAGAACTACATTACTTTGGGTTCGACTCGTAAATCAGGGTTTCTGCGTTTTTGAACCGAGTTACTGGTTCAAACCCTGATATATATATTTTGAAAATTCTAACAATTTAATTTACAATCGCCCGTTGTACTGAAAATATTGCTGTCCGTACTTATTTTCATTAACAAAATACGGGCTAAATTTGTGCCCTACCAAAAGAGCCACACCCCTTTATAAGTTAGGGCTGGCGCTTCCTCAACGATTTTCATTTTGAACTAACCAGTTATGTTAAAAAGAAAGAAGCTAATACGATAAATTTTCTGATATAATGAAGTTCTTATACGAGAAATTGATTATTCTTAAAAAAAGCTACTTAATATTCAGTAAATTCATATTTCTTATACTAGCTGGAAGAGATTTCTACGTATTTTCAAATTCAACTGTGCCTACAACACACTCGTTATTCAGGTTCTTCAAGAAACAATTGCATTAATTCTCGTTTAGTGCAGCTGCTTTTACTTTTCTTGGGAGAAAGTTGTATTCACAGTCACAATTGAGCGCAATTCTGGTCGAAGGTTGACTCTTAATCAATTTATTTAACAATACAATACAATCAATCAATTCAATAATAGTAATAAATAAAGCGTTTAGATATTAGATGAAGTTAAAAAACTCGTTCAGCTCACCTGGGTTGTTGGCCTGATAATGAGCAGGGCAATCCATAGACGCAGAAAACCAACAAGTGGACCAAATGCGACCAAGAGATAGGCATAGTCGCCGCCGGATCTGGTGATGCTGGTGCCCAATTCGGCATAGCAAAGAGCGCCGATTGTTGAAAGAATGCCGCAGGCAGACCAAATCAAAAGTGAGCTTCCGACGGATCTGAAAGAGGCGAGCCGGGGGTCAGCGTACAACTGAATAAGTGGTCGAACAATGGACAGAGCGCGGCGTCGCTGCTTTCCGTTGGCTCCATTGGCTAAAGTGGTTCCACAAGGGAACCAAAACTTTCGCAGTATCACATAGTGCCCGAGTCTTCGTGTATGTGTGTGATGTGATGTGATGAGACGTGTTTATTTTGGGGCAGTTCGTTCTGTTGGTCTTGTAATTGTAGCACAGACTTCTCAAATACTTTCGAGCTGATGCAATAATTGTCAACGATTTCGCGATGACGACAAAATATTCTCAAGGGCGCCTGCCACAAGCAATATGAACATGAACAATAACAAGGCTTAATTACTTAGAGCCCATGCTCCCACCCACTGGCACCCCCCCCCCCCCCCTTACCACCCTCCCTCCCCCTGACTTGCAATTCAGCTCAATTGGCCGGCAAAAAGAAATGTTCCAATTTACTATAAATTAGCATGCTATTGACCTTTTTCTGGGCGGGTTCACGCTTTTAATGAACTTGTAAAAGTTCGGAATTCAATTGTTAATCAACGAAAGCTCCAACTATTCTTCAAGATCAGCACAGGATTACACAGATTATACAATTGATTCTTCTAATAGAAGCTGCAAAGGAGAAGCTTTGCTCGTCGCTCAGGACTCAGGGGTTATCATTCGCGACGATCAAGCTCATAGCTCCTTTTGAAGCTGGCATTAAGATTCCCACCTCTTTGATTCAGTTTTACACTTTCAAGTTAGAGAAGATCCATTTTGAGGCCCCGTACTCACTCCGTATAGTAGAAGACTCCGGTGGGTGCTATAAAAATGCCCGAACCAATAATGGTGCCCACAATAATGGCCACCCCGTTGATCAGCGTCAGTTTACGCTTGAGCACAATTTTCTCATCCTGGCCGACTGCTTCGGCTTCCTTTATCTCGGGAGTATGTCCATTGACGGCGGGCTCCACCAAGCTGGTGGATACCCCATTCGCATAGCGTTCGGTCATAGTGCAAAGGAGTCTTCTAACCTTAAGCACCTTATAGAATCGGCTCGATTCCAGATATTCCAGTTGTGGTTGGTACAAATAGTTACTCTACCTCGGGCGCTGACATTGCCACTTTAGAGAATAAATAATTATAAATTGGTAAAATTGTTTTATATCACAGAGGGTATTATAGTTCGATCACAAAACATGAAACGCATAGAAGGAAACATATCCGAACCGATAAAGAGAAATTTGGGAGCCTTAAGCTATCTGAGTGAAACTGGGGAGATATTTGAATTTGAAGAAAGTAAGTGTATAAGTCGGTGTCTGCTGGATCGGACAACTATATCATATTGGATAAAAACATCATTTCTGCATTTATGCGTTTCTGTTTTTTTAAGATATCTTGACCGCATAGCAATTACGTGTCTTACTGACATTTATGGTAAAACTTATCTATGTAATACAATATCTTGTTGGCAAAAAAAAAAACCGTTAAAACGTGAGTTTTTCAATAACAAAAACAAAAACTCGTTTTACAATTTTTTTGACCAATTGGAAAACAGGATAAAATCGTTTGCAAATTCAAATGTAATGAATATGTAAGAAAACTCTTGGTGGCTTTTTTATTGTTAGTCTAAGTAGAGTTTTCAGCTCTAATTATCATCCCGTTAGATAGTGAGAGTGTCAACAACTATGACGTAGTCGTTGTCAATTGAAGAGTATAACAGCCGCTCGTCTTGTCTACGTAGCACAACGGAGTCTAGCCCAAAACAATCACATAATTATTTATAACAACGTAAGAAATCGCGTTAAGAACGTAGTAAAACTTGTGAGGGCAATGCACGAGCTGTTGCGTGCCAAATATTTAACGATTTCGTCACACATTTGGAATTAATTGGAAACGCGCGTCGCGTGGCAATGGCCATAGTTGTAGTTTTTTCTCTTTTGCAGCTTTTGCTTATATGGCGTAATCTTTTGTTTATCTGCATTTTTGTGAGAACATTCGCACATATTGACATTTAGTGCACATTTGGCTCTGCTCGACAATATTGCATTACCATAAATTAAAACTAAATAGCGCGACACACAACAAATCCAGTCGAGCTACGCGTTGATACTGTTTCGCCAGTTTTGGCTACTGCAACGCGTTGGCATAGAGACCCGAGACCGGCATTTTAGCATTTTCAGCGCAAGCCCCCCAAAAATAAGGTGAGAGCAGTAGTAGAGATGGACTCGTGACAAGCACGAGCACGAAGCGAACTAAAACTATTAGTGGAGCGCAATTAATAATTTCTATCGCAAAATAAATTAAAAAAAAAAAGCGCATCAACATCTATATAACATTAAACAATTTCTATACAAAATATTATTATATCCATTTAAGTTTCAATATTTTTTTTTTATTGTCGACTTATGTCAATTTCGCGTTCGTGACACGCTTACTAGCCACATACGCAGCTCTAGCTAAGAGAGAGAGTGAGAGAACACTTTATCGAATTGAGTAATATGCGAAAGCGCCAAACCGGAAATTAAAAAGTGTTCCGGTGCCAATTCTATTTTCGTATGGTTACTTTTTTTATTTTAAATTAAACACATATTTGCAGACGGCTGACAATTCAGCCTCGGACTTTTATTTTAATCACGCTCATTGCAATGCAGATATAAACAGTATATAGGTTTTCGATTAATATCGTGATGTTCAACAATCGATATTATTTTTTATCTTATCGAAAATTTGCCATTCACATTGCTGTTGAAAATCTAAAAGGTTGGCATTCCTTTAGTTTTTGTTTTGATTGTGGACACACGTGTTTCGCGAATACTTTCTTGAAAAAAAGTTGAATTCCTCAATATGTCCGACAAGTAAGTGCTTATTAACTATATAGATTTTTGCAATATGAAATACGAAGTTATTTTTGCCTAACAGATATGCCGTGCCCAATAAATTACCTGGCAAAACGGTCTCGGTGCTTAAGCACCGCAAGAGGCGCATTCAGCAGGATCAGTCGGTTATTGAACAAAAGCGCACGGATCGCATTAAACGCATAAGGAACGCCCGCACACATCATAAGTTCAAACGCGCCGAGTCCTTCGTAATGGGCTACCTGAAGGCCGAACGCACATCCAAACGCATTAGGCAAACAATTCTACGCACAAATATTACAGAACAAAGCGCCAAAGCTGCTGCAGAAACGAATCCCAGACTGCTCCTAGTCATGCGTCATGCGGGTAAAAAGATCTTTGACAAAACCACCACAGAAATATTTAAAACGCTGCACATGGGACAAAGGCACAATGCCGTCTTTCTGGAGAACAGCAAGGAGAATCAATTGCTGCTGCGCGTTATCGAGCCCTTTGTGGTCTATGGCTTTCCTACGCTGAGCACCATACGCGAGCTACTGTTCAAGAAGGGTTTTGCGCGTATCGACGGTAAAAAGACGGCTATACAGTCGAACACCATGGTTGAGGAGCAGCTGGGCGATAAGGGTATTATCTGCTTGGAGGATATCATACATGAAATCTATACAGTGGGACCCAACTTCGACGCCGTCAAGGAATTTCTGTGTTCTTTTATGGTAAGTCGAGCTTAAACTTTAGCCAATACCTAATTGCTAATCCTTTTGTTTGTAATATGCAGCTATCAAGTCCCCGCGACGGCTGGAAGAAAAAGGTCTCCGTCTCGTTCAAGCGCGGCGGCGAGTACGGGGATCGTGGCAACGGCATTAATGAACTGGTTGCGCGCTGCCTCTAAAACTTTAACCTAGTAGACTTTTATGTAAAATCTTTAAAGCGAAAACTAAACCAGAAATATAGTTATATATAAATAAGTTTTAAAACACATATGCGTATTGCAAGTGCCAAGATATTGTTGTTTATTTCCTAAGAAACATGTCGCTTGTATATTTTGCCAGCGGGGACAGCAAAGCGGACATCGAATATCAGACAATCTCCTCGACTGCTACCCAGATTAGCCAGGAGCAATCGGAGCGACTGCACGACCGCATCTCCAAGGCCCAGTTACAGAAGCTGTACGAACTATTTAAATCAGCACCAGGTCAAGTGGTTGGCTGTGGAGATTTGCGACGTATGCTCGAGGATGTAGACATTACCTTTAACGATTTCGCCTACACGCGTCTCTTTCTAAAAATTAATCAGAATCATGATTTTATGGTGGACTGGAATGAGTTTGTCTCGTATCTAATATTCGGGTTTCAGGAGGAGGATCCCAGCAGCCAAAAGGAGGCACTTATTATGCCCATCTCGATGGCGCCAGTTGTACGCAAAACCGAGCACCGTTCAGCGGTCTGTTGCATAACATTGCTTAAGGTCAAGTCTGATCAGACTCCAATGGAAGAGATCACCGAATCAGCCAATTATTCTTTTGGTGGCGAGGACTCGCCCGAGAACTCGGGCATGTGGGTAACGGCCAGTCATGAGGGTCAATTGCGTTTCTGGAGCGCGCACATGGAGCCACTGCGTAGTGCCGTCTCCGAGAGCAGTAAGTATACGAGTATAGTAAAAGACAAAAGAGGATTGAACTTGAAATTTGGATGCTTTAATACACATTTACTTACCTTTATGTGATTGTCATAGTAGTCGATGACTTGCTGAATGACATGTCATGCTAGTCGTCTTTAAGGACATGTCTGTAACGTTGTCTTCCAGAAATTTTCAACTTGTTACAGGCTATCTCTGAGAGTTCGTTAGCTCAGTTAATTTTTAAGTTTCCTTTTAATCGCAGTTCACTTGAAGGTGCCCACCTGGATACTGGCCCTGCAGGCGCTGTCCGACGTGAGCATCGTGTGCACCTCCTCCACGGAGCGTGAATTGCGCTTCCATGAGACGATTGCCTCTACCTTTACGCTGCGCATGGTCATTCGCAGCCTGCCGTATGCTGTCTATTGCATGAGTTATGCCTTCTACAACAACGGCAAGACACACTCGAAGCTGGTGCTCGGAGATTATGCTGGCAATGTCCGGATCCTGTCATATTCACCATACCTGCGCGGTCCGTTCCAGGCGAAGCCCGGCGCGGCGCTGGTTGAGCTAGTTTGGGCGGATGTGCTGCGCGGCCGGATACCGCTGCTAATACCACGGGAATACATTAATCTGCACAACGAGCTCATCTCCTGCGTCTACTTCTCGCTGCACATGAACACGCTGTTCGCCTCGGCCGAGTACAGGAACACCAAAAAGTATCGTGGACGCTGCCCGGGCCTTATAATGGTCAGCAACGAGGATCGCAACAATTTTCGCATACCATTGGGCGTATCCGTGTTCTATGTGTCTGAGATCAAGAATATTTTGGTCACCGGTGGTCCGGATACCTTTGTGCGCATTTGGGATGTCTATATATCATCCGAGCCATCGGCCATTTTGACTGGACACAATGGCGGCATTGTGGCCGTCTTTGTGCAGCCGGAGGAGAATAAGGTGTACAGCGTGGACTATCATAAGATAATCAAAGTGTGGGATCTGCAGGAGCACACGCTGCTCCAGACCTATGGCGATCTGGTGCGCGTCATTCATCACAGCGAAACCGATATTAAATATTATTATCATTCGCATCTGCGGGAGCTAATGGTCGCCGGTCGCAAGCTCATCCAGATCAAGTGCTGTCCCCGTGTCCGGGTCGATCTCACCGATGGCAACACCCATGCCGCGCCCGTCTCCGTGGTACTCTATAATCGCCTGTTTCGCAACATTGTGACCTGCGGCCTGGATAGCTATATTATAGTGTGGGATCCGTGGACGGGTCGTCGCAAGATCATCATGAAAAACTGTCACACCAAGATGATTTACGGGGAGACCATTGACATTGAGATTACGGCTGCCTGCTTCGATCCGCTGGAGCAGTTCCTGTTGACGGGCGCACGCGATGGTTCGCTCAAGATTTGGAACTACAACAATGCTGTCGTGGTGCGCAATATGAGCATTCAGCCGGACCAGGAAGTGACCGCCGTTATCTGGGTTGTAGATCGGTAAGTTATATACAAATATTACCCGGCCGTATATAATCCTTGTACTTCCGCTTCCAGTATACTGGCCATGGGCTGGGACCGACAGGTGACCGAGTTCAATGATGTGGAGGGTCGCGAATATGGCGATCCAAAGAAGTGGGCGAAATTCCATACGGACGATATCACCTGTGCCGATGTCAAGCTGGGCGAGGGCGTGGTCACGGCCACTTACTCTGGCGAGATCATCTTCTGGAAGCTGGAGACGGGCCAGCCGTATCGACGCTACAATGTCATGGATCCCAGTCGCTTTATTGAGCTAAAGCTGAATGCTGAGGAGGAGAAATTAACGCGACGCAGCAAACGCATGTCCTCACTCATAGGCGTAAATAGACGAAGCACTTCCGTGCAAGCCGTTAAGCCGGATGAAATCAAGGATTATGGAGCCAATATACCTGTTTCCGTGCAGGCTGTGCTCTTTCTGCAGCGACGTCCAATGACCAAGGAACATGGTAAGTTAACTCCCCAACCAACATCTCCAACATTCGCTCAACATCTCTTCTTAACATTGTCCAGGAAGCGTCTTTATCTCCCTGGATACGGGCACCATTCAGGTCTATTCGCATCATCAGCATGGCGGCTATATTAAGCAGTTTACGGCCGTCCACAAAACAGGCGACTGTGTGCTGACCATGGCCACAGATCGCAAGAATCGATTCCTCTATACGGGCACAGCCTTTGGTTACATCAAGGTTTGGCATATTGTCAATTATTGGTAAGTAATCGGTTGTAATGGGGATTGTAAGATTAGACTCCGATTCCAACCGATCCCTTATTTAATTGAACAAAAATGTTGGTGATTCATGTTATTAAATATAGCATAAATATGTTAATAACAGTATATAGGAAAAAGGTTAACATAGCTAACCATACATGTTAATGTGACTCTGTTAATGTTAACATAAATGCAAGTAACAGCAGCTTTACAGCTGCACACTTAAGAAATGGTAGAATCGGACTTCCCAATGATTCTTCTGCCATCTTCAAACCTCTATCATTTAATGCGAGCAATCACTGTACCAAAGAAACATAAAGAAACCACAAAAATTGACTCTAACGACACGACTCATTATCTTACATGTGTATCAACTTGTAGACCAAGTCATCCACCCACAAATTCCTTTGGCAGGCCTTGCGTGTCTCGCCGAATTCCAAACAAACTGGGTTTTTTTTGGCAACAAATAAATAAATAACTCATAACTAGAACTGGCGGGGGCGAAGGCAAGGACTTAATAAAGACAGACATTCCACTGTCATTTTGCTGAGGAACCTTACTAAAGCTCAACTCTAACACTCTTATCTAGCATACCGAAGGCGGAGCAGACGCATGTGTGCATGCCCAGACTGCGACTGGAATTTATATTCCTGCGAAAGGAACTCTTCTTGACGCGCGCCAAGCGTATGGTACGTTTTCAACCGGAGCCCATGCTGGTTAGCTCTTACAAGGGACACCTTAAGGCCATAAATTCCATACGTTTCATCAATTTGCCAAAGATCATATTCAGGTATGTTCTTTGAATGATTAAAAAGTCTGTAAACATATTCTGAGACATGGCTTACAAATTGTGTCCGGCACATTTGTGTCCACATTTGTCAGTCCAGGTTCCGGCTTAAAAATCAGTTTCCTAAATTCGACCCAGCTTTGAATTTAACGAAACCCCCAGGGTCTCTTAATAAAAACCCCCAACTTTAATCCTTGCTCTTCCCAACATTTTCTCTTTCACAGTGGCAGCCACGACTATTCGTGCCGCCTGTGGACGCAAGGAGGTCGCTACCTGGGCACTCTGGGCACTGTGCTGCCCTGGTCGAAACTGACACCTTTCGAGCGCGCTGGCGAGGATAATCGCGCCTATCGCCTGCCGCCGGATATCAAGAAGGTGGCCAGTTCCACAACACTCAAAGTTATCTCGGGCATACAGCATTCGTTCACGCTGAAGCGTCCCAAGGCGGCCGAAGAACGGGAGGAGGAGCGCGAAGTGGAGGACACGACCACCGATGTGAAGAATTTGTTTGAGCGACCGCTACGCGAGCCCATTCTGGGCAAGCACTTCCAGCTGCCCGGTCGCAGTGCCATCGAGCAGCGCATCGAGCTGGATACGACACAGCTGTATATTCCAGTGTACACGCATCTGCGTGTATATCCATCCGAGATGATGGAGGCTCTGCCGACGTCGCCAATTATTGGTCAAGTGAAAGCTGAGAACTATTTGGAGCATTATATGCCCGTGGTGGGCAAGGTGGATGTCAATACATCCGCCATAAACATAAAGGAGCCGCAGAAGCTGGAGCGCATCAAGGCTGGCGCCAACCTGGACCAACCGCGGGCTAGCGCTGGCTGGGGAAAGCCCAAGACAAGCTCAATTCTTGGCATACCCAGGGCAGGCTCCAGCCTAGGCAAAGCCAGGGCTAGCGTTAGCCAGGGCTCTCCCAAGGCTGGCGTTAGTTCAGGGTATGGCAAGGTTAGCGTTAGCCAGGGCTATCCAAGGGCTGGCAGCCCCAGGCCTCGCACTACTAGCCTGAGCAAGCCCAAGACCAGCTCCAGTCCAGGCAAACCTAAGGCTAGCTTCAGGCTAGGCAGTCCCAAAGCCGCCGCCAGCCTGGCCAAAGCCGACTCTAGCCCAGGTAGACTCAAGTCTAGCCCATCGAAACGCAGCTTCAGTCCAGGCAAAGCCAATGCCAGCTCAGGCAAAGCCAGGATTAGCTCTGTACTTGGCAAGCCTAAAGCCAAATCGGAAAGGGAAACCCATTAATCTTGAGTTTTAAATCTAGTCGAATGTGTTTATTTATTTGGTTCTCGATTTGGGGCATAAATATTTGGATGCACCTGCTCTGGGAATGAAATTAAAGTGAATTCAATTCCTTCATATCTGTAGCATGCGCACCGCATTGTACATCTGGGCGACGGTGATAAGGTGCTTGGACCCGGGCCGACTAAGGCATTTATAGGCATGGGCTATCAGCTTGTCCAGAAGGACCACATCAATCTCCTCCGGCTTGCTGGCGCTTATGGCAATGCTATGCTCCGTGCTGGCTTCCTTCTGCGGGGCGAAAAGGTTATGTTTGTGAGTTTAGTTCTATGCATGATAAAAATCTGAGCACACTTACCAGATTATCCAAATAGGCTAGCAGCTGGTGACCCACCGAGGCAATCTTGAGAAAGGCCGCCTGGCTGCCCTCCGCATAGAGATTTAAACGCCTGCCGGCAATTTCCAGCAGCAGAGGACCCAGCTCTTCATCCTCGCTAATGTCCTTCAGCAGCAGCTGCGCTTCTGCATCATAGCCAAAGGCGTACAGCTCCACCACCTGCAAAAGCATACACTAGTAGTTGGAATTCCAACTGGAATTGGTTGCTGCCGTTGGGCTCACCTGTTTGCGCAGTATGGGAAGCTTCTCCAGCCGCCAGCTGTCGGCAAGCGCACAAATCTTGGCCATATAGTAGACGTGATCGAGTATGTACAGCTGCTCCAGATCCTCGCGTATCAGGTCCATTGTGGCAGCGACCACGTTGCAGAGGAATTGGGTACGCTGCTCCTGCAGCACCAGATCTGGGGCGGGCAGCGTATAGGTCAGCTCCTTGTTGATATCCGACAGTAGCGCCTTGTTGGCCAGCGCATCGAAGAGTGTGGTCAGAGGACGTGACACGCGCAGCTGAAACTGGGCTATGAAATGTAGCACGCTGCAGAGCTGGGTGTGCAGCTGCAGCAGCTCCGGCAGCGCGTGATGCTGCTGCAGCGCCAGAAACTGCAGTGGCTGCTGCCCCTCGCTGAGCGCCTGCTCGAACTGCAGCTCCCGCTTGTGGTGCTCCAGCGAGCTGTTGAAATGCTCCAGGAACTCCAGGCACAGCTCGAGAAATTCAGGCACTAGGGCTGCAGACATGTCCAGATCCTGTTGGCACATCTTGTCCACCGGCAGGCGACCTACTTTCTGCATCAGCTTGGCCGCCGCCTGCAGTGGATACTTGAGCGTGGCATTCCATAGCAGGCAGCAGGTGCCATGTTTTAGCGCCAGATCTGGCGTGCGATATTCCTGTAGGCAACGCAATGCGGCGCGCATGTGCTCCAGCCCGGACAGCTGTTTGCTCCAGTGCACCATATGCTGCCAGGCCATCAGACTCAGCAGCACGCCCGACTCCAGGCTAAAGGGGAAATGCGCACGCAGCAGCGCCAGGCGCTCTAGCACAGGTTCCAATGGTTCGCTGGGTTTGCCCGCCTGCTCCATATTCTCAATTGCCGCTAGCTCCTCCAGCTCCTCCAGCTTCTTCTCCTGTTCCACTTTTTTCTGACTTACCTTGGTCTTCGATTTTGCCTTGACGTCAGGCTCATCATCCGTCTCGTTTCCTGGCGGAGTTATTTCCACAATTAAACGCGGATGCAGTCGCGAGCTGTTCAGCCACTTGGCTGTCAGCTCCGAGACAATGCCCTTGCCGCTGCTGAGAATGTTCTTCAAGCTGCAGTCGGGCTGCTCGTACAATAACTCTGGACCAATGGGTTCACGGCAGATCTTCGGCTGACTGCAGAAAGGAGGAGGGAAGCCGTTTATTGCTTGTTCGCGGCACACACTCAAACCTAGCCAAAGCTTACCCCAGTATCGCGCCCAGCACGGCCACATCTTCCAGCTTGCCAATGAGCAGGCCCCACTGTGCTTCATCATGTGATATGCTCTCCCAGCGTTCGTCCTCCTCCGTGGCGCTATCATCGCAGGAGCCGTCGCGTCGATTACGCCACAGCTGTGTGGCCACCATACGGCAGACAATGGCCACTAACAGACCAGAGAAGTGTTTGCTCTCCAGCAGCAGCTCCCGCACCTGCTGCCACCACGGCGAGATGGCATTGTAGGCATAGTCGTTGATATGCTCACCGGCCAGCTCGCAGATGACGCGCACCATGGACGCAATGCGAGACATATCCTCGACCACCTCATCACTGTGGGTGAGAAAAGCGAGTGTTAAAGCAGATAACTCTCGCATTCACTTGGCTACTTACCAGTTGTTATACTTGAAGGGCTTTTCCAGCCAAAAGTAGATGACTAGCATTAGTAGATCCTTGCTGGGAATGCACGCGTCGGTGGCCCACTGCTTAAACTGCTCTAGGCACAGGCCCTGGGCAAGGAAATGACCAAATAGATCAGAGCTAACGCTGCCATATTTATCCGACTTCGATGGCAGCAGTGTTACACAGTTGGGCGTATCGATGTTAAAGATGCTCAGATAATCCACAAACTCCTCCACTTTGTGTGCGTCCTGCAGCTGAAAGCTAACCTCACGCATTGGCGGTTTCTCCTCGCCATTTTCCAGCAGAATGACCAGCTGATTGATGGTCACCAAATCTGCGTCGGAGAGCTCGAGCAGCTCAACTGGCGGCGCAACGCTATCGCCGCACTGTTGCTGGGCACGACTCAGTGTCAGGTAAAGATCGGTCAAACGTTTGTAGTTGGCGATGTGTTGGAGAAACTCTTGGGTGGCGGCATCCTTCTCATGCGCCTTGGCCTGGCCAAGGGCATCAACAATGCTCTGAAACAATTCCGGCTGCAGGCGTTTGCTTTTTAGCAACATCTCGAGGCACTGCTGACGCACTTCCAGCGTTTCCAGCTCTCCAGCTAGCTGGGCAATCGCGGCAATCTGCTGCTGCCTGTCATCGCTAGAATGTGTCAGCGAGCGCAGTTGATTGCGCAGGCGGCGCAGCGAGTGTATATCCCGGGATGTTTGAGAATTGGTCTCGCTGAGTGCATAGTGGAATGGTATGTGCACCTCCTTCAGGCTGGCATCGCTGGGATCCAGAAATAGACAATGATTCAGATTGGGCGAGCGGCGCATCTGCACGCCTGGAGCGCCCAGAGGGCTATGATTATTGTATACCAGCTGGCCACTCTTGGACACATTAAATGCGGCCACTTTGGGCCCATTCTGCAGCGCCCATATGTCCAGGCAGCCTAGGCGCGGCGCATAGATGACCAGAAACAGCGCCTTGCGCTTGTGCGTCTTAATGCCACGCACAGAACGTTCCTTAATGGGCATAAAGGCGCACTGTGCATCCCGATAGCCCTTCCAGACGCGCAATATAATCGCCTGCTGTGTGTCCACCAACATCACGCGGTCCAGATTGTCCGTAACGGCGGCCAATTTACCGCCAGGCGCCAAAGCCAGGGTGAGCCCGTCACGTTTGCCATCGTACAGGCGGCAGCGTGTGCGCATGGGCGCCTCCTTGCTGGGCAGCGGCATCTGATCGGGCTGGTCTGCCGTTGCCTCCGGCGCGCGCCGGAAGAGGCCGCCCAGTAAATTTTTGTACGCCATGCCAATAACGTCTTTGGCCACCGCGCCCAGCGATACTGTCTTGTAGCCCTCCTCGGCCTCAAAGAAACCCAAATAAGGCTCCGCACCGGCAGCCAGCACCTGGGCACTTCGCATAGGCGTTGCCTGCACCTTGGCGAAGTAGCCAAACGCAATGCTTTGATTTACAATGTGATCATAGGTGGGCGATCGTTGATTTGTGACAATGACGGCATCATTAAGAATGGATTCGCGCTGGCGCTTGAACTTGTATTTCTGAAACGGCACCACATCAGCGCTGGGATAAACGCTACGCTCCAGAGCACTGCGCTGTATGGTCTGACGACAATTGGCCAGTATGGGCAATATGTCCTGGCCATTGATAAAGCACAAGCAGCTGCTGTAGACAATGTATAGCAAGGCATCGGCTTCTGAGTGACGCGCCGGCGACAACAATTTAATGCCCAAGACGGAATCCTCTTGGCAACTGGCAAGAGAAAGGATATTAATGAGTTAGCAATAAAGTTACATAGCTTACCATTGCGAGAATAGCTTAACACCCGTATCTGTGTAGAATATTACCATGCCGGAGGCCAGACCTACTGCCACGCAAGTCCACTCGATGTCTGTGGCACGCAGCATGGGCATGCAGAACAGACTGGTGACTATTTGATTGGGATCCTCTAGTTCGCCACACCAGCTGAGAGCATAAGTATTTCCATGCCCATGACTGTCCCAGCAGGTGGTCAAAAATGCCAGCTTTTCACCCTGCGCCAGGGCAATCGCCTCTCCAGTTGGTGACATGGCATAGTTGATGCCATTAAGCCAATTGTCGTCTGAGTTGGCATTAGGAAACAGTTAATAGGCGTATATTGATGCTCAATTCTTAAATTTTTACCATGACCAAGTCCAAAATATTCCTGAACCTTTCGAAAATCTAAAATATTTCCAAATGTTTTCACCTCGCAAGCCATTTTCCTTTGTTGTCATGCCACAGCTGAGTTAAAGTCAGAGTGGCCGGACTTGTGCAGCCGACAGCTGTTGATGTTGACGAAATGTAAACAAAAGTGTGACCAGCAAAATATTTCCACCGACATATGCATATATCGATAAATATCGCAATGTGCTAAGGCCAATTGGCGCCAATTCAAATCAATTTTCTAAGAGCTTGCATTAAAACGCTTTTATCGATTGCTTGGGATGACCAATAATACCTTTAATATGCCAAAACACTAAATATACGTAAACATATTCTATAACAAATGAGCGCAAAGTATAATTAATTCAAATCCGACTCCACACCACTGTCAATGTAGTCCTTTAGCATAATTCCACAACTACTTGGCAACAGTCGAGTCCAATTGTTGATGTACATCAGACTGCTGGGTATCGTTACCTCCAGACTATTGGATCGATGCGCCTCTATAATGCGCTTTGCCACTTCTTTGGGATCCAGCAGGCCCAAAATGGTGGGAAACTTGACCTTCGGATACTTGCAAAGCCCCGTATTCGTCATGTATGGAAATATAGTTGTGACTCTTATCTACATGAAAATCACATCACAAAATGAAAATCAAGTGTACTTCGCAGATGTAGAAACGCTTAGTGCTTACCAGATCCTTGTAGGGTCCCTCGCGCAGCTCTTCATGCAGAGCCTCCATCATGCCGCGTACTGCGAACTTAGTTGCACAATATGGCACCAAGTTGGACAGACCCACCACACCGGCAATGGACGATAAAGAGATAATGTGGCCGTTGCGACGTTCCTTCATTTGATCTAGGAACGCTTGTATTGTCCAGAATTGCGAGAATACGTTGACATCGAACACACGTTGTATTTCCTCGGCCGATTGCTGTGGCAAGGGATGCGTCGGCATTATGCCAACATTATTCACCAGCACAGACACAGAGCCAACCTTTGTTTTCACACGCTTTGCCAGCGCTAGCACCTGATCGCGCTTGGATACATCACAGCTGCAATGGGTAACATTTTATATAATACCAGGAATTTACTATTGAACAACACACACACACACACACCTGAAACTGTGCACGGCACCACGATTCAAGCGCTGAGCCTCCTGCACAGTGTCCATGTTGTTCTTCTCGTCGATGTCCACACACACGACTGTGCTACCCCAGGCGGCATACTGCAAGGCCAGCTCTCTGCCAATGCCATGGCCGGTGCCGGTTATCTGTAGTTGTGTGGTATGAGTATATGAGAGTCAAATAATCCACACTATTATTGGAGCCACTTACCAGGACAATTTCGCTGCTGATATCCTTTAGCTTTCTGGGCAACATCGACTGCACCAGGACTGTAGTTAATTCCAGGAGCACGCGTACTATCAGCATCAGCAATTGCAGCAAGTCCTGCAGGAAGGCAAACATTCTCTTCGAGGCTGTTGTGGTGCTGAAATTGAAGAAAGAATCTCTTTCCATTGTAAGAGTCTTCTTTGGTGCGGGATTGAAAGTTAAACATAAACATTAAACATTTCGACATTTGTGTCCTGTCAAGTTCCCAGGAAACGCGCCAAGCCCTCGTCCTAACTGCCCTAAAGATGTCTTTGTAATTGTACTAAATATAAGGATTTAACGGAAAATTTTCGTTTTCTTCAAAAAGCTGTCATATCAAAATAAATATCGATACGATTGTCTATGTTATGCTTTAGATAGATTTTATAACATTAACTTTTGCAATATATAAGGTAATTCATAAAAACAAAACAATTATATATAAAAATATAATGTTTATTTTCGGAGCGATTCATATATATAGAGGAGTATGATAATGATAATTATTATTATTTTAAAATGTAATATATAACATTCAGCCGTATATTTCCCTCATGTCGATAAATTTCCCTTAACGTCCTTAAATTTCCATAATCGCGATAAATTCCCTGAGGAGCGTTTTATAGCTGTAAATTTGCCCAATCTGATTACCGTGAAGTAAGAACCACAAATGAATTTGACAAATGTTTGTTTTAATTGTAAACAAAACATAAGAACCTCCTCAGGTATGCAAACGAGTGGGCAACGCTTTTTTTTTTTTAAACAAAGCGCAAAGAACAATAATAATTGCAAATTTGTGGCGCATTTAATTTATCTATTTGTATGCAGTCTTAAGTGCATTTCGGCTGTGCAACGTTCAAACGGTCAACGGACTTTGTCACAGTGGAGCATAATGATAATGGACTCTATATCTATCTATAACTCCAGCCGCAGCTATGGACTTGGCAACGAGTGTTGACGATAAATCTTGGCCTAGTTGCTGGGCATACGCGCCGCTAGAACTTTGACAAACAATCATTATGACGATGACGGTGCATGTATATAATTGCTATAAGGTTGTCGTTAATGTGTTAATATGCATTTTAGAATTAAGCACTTTTCATTAGTATACCTTATATTTGAATTAATTTAACAGTTTGCACTTACTGAATAATTTCACGCTCAATCATGATGTTAAACAAATTAAATTGACTTCGGCTGGCGTTTCGATTGCCCTGTAAATTTAAAACGAAAAAAGGTTTTCTTTTAATTTTTGTTATTTGTTTGATTTAAAGTCACGTCACAATTTCAATGCAAGTGCTGTAACTAGTTGTCTTCCGTATTCGCGTGCATTTTCGTTTTACGTTTCAGCTTAAATTTAAGTGTGTTGTGCGGCGCTTTTCATTTCAACAAGCGGCAGACGAAAACGCTGATGAGTCGCTGGAGCGGAGGGGGGAACGGTGGGGCGGTGGGCGGCGTAGGCGAACCAGCTGCAGCCTGTAGCAACATTTTCACTTTCGTTTTAGCCGCAGACGCCACTAAAATGAAAATTACGTGCACTACAATGTGGCACAACACACACATACATATGCGCGCGCACACACAAACACACACACACACACAGCTAACGCCAGGCGGCTTTACCGTTAGACAGCTCAATGGGCAGCCCAAGACCATGAGACCGACTGACAATCGGCGACCGACAGTTATTGGCGTCTCTTTTGGCCGATTCTCTTTGTGGCAACTACATGTTGCAATGTCTGAGGAAATGTTGGCAATTGAATAAGCAGCCAATGCGACAACACAGCGAGGCGCGCTTTAAGAGTTTTCAATTTGCACTAAAACAACTTGCCACAAATTACTGGATTTCCGTTATGCAACTGCGTTGTTTTTATTCCGTTTTTATACAGCTGCCACCGCGATCCAACCGAAGCGCTTCGCTGCCTGCCACCAACTGATTTAAGCTGCGCGCGCGCCAAGCCAACGCAACCTCGTCAAGCTTCCAGCATCAAATCGAGAGAGCGTGACGGACAGAGAGAGAGAGAGAGAGAAAGAGAGCGAGAGCAATCTGCTCTCACTGATCCTTGCTGACAGATATTGAGCGTCAAGTCAAGGACGCCACATTTCAAAATGTTTTTGTTTATCCCAACAAACGCAGAGGCGCGACCTTCGGTTGACAAGTTTTAAACAAAAGCTGATATGCAGCTTCATTAAGTGTCTTTATTGTTTTTATGCCGCATACCCATTAAAAATTGATAAAATGGGTATTATGAAATTATGCCAATGTATGTAACAGGCATATATTTGCCAATTCCAGTTATCCCTTTGATAATTTCTCTGTTTAAGCTAATTAGACATATAATACAACATTTATTTAAGAATGCATTCTTCAAAGTGTGGAGCCCAGCGCTCCACTTCTTGTACAGGGTATTTTGTAGTCGATCATCCTCTCGATAAGAGCACTCTTACTTGTTGTTGTTGTTGTTGCATGATTTACCGTTTTTGGAGCTTTGCGCAGACAAAACCGCGTCCCATGTATCAAACCTGACTGGTTATTGTCGTTATGTTGATGACGTGGCAACAGTTCGCGGCCCAAGTTCAAGTTCAGTATGTTCCAACTTAATAAATACATATGTAGATCATTTCACATCGAGCAAAATGAGCTGCATACCGATGCGCAAAAAAATTAACTTACGTTGGGTTGGGCAGCTGCTCTGCTCTGCTCTGCTCTGCTCTGCTCTGCTGCGTTCTGTTCCTCGCTTGTCCTTCACTGAAACTTTTCATTATCTCAATGCTAATCTGTTCCCCCCTCCCCACCCTCCCTCTCTCTCTCTCTCTCTCTCTCTTTCTCTTCAGCAGTCCCTTTCTCTCTTTAAGTTTGCAATATAACCAGTATTTTGTTTTGTTCTGAAAGTAAATTTATTGTTTATGCTTCCCTGTTGGAGAAGGTCAGTTAAGGTTAATTGGACACAGCTCCGATCGACGACCCGTTCGCATAATTGGTGTCAATTTGCTCTTCCAGTTGCTCTTGATGATCAGCTGTTGACATAGAGCCATAGACATAGATCAAAACTAAGAAGAACTATTTACGTGACGTGACTGAAACAGTTGCTGCAAGTGCACATGTCCTCAACTAACATGTGAGAGTGAAAGCTCGACTAGGGGATACGCTGTACATAAATTATAAATTAGAGTATATGCAAGCATTTGTCTAACTTATAAAAACAGGCAATGTTTCATCCAATTTATCCAAATAACATGTATTTTTATGCAGAACTGCCGAGCGAGAGTGAAGCCGAGGGAGAGAGAGAGATTTTTGTTGTGCCTTTAAACATATGCCCAGTTATTTTACTCTTTCTACTCATTCTAGGGTTAAGTGTAGAAGAAGATAAAGTGTCGTATTATCATAACGCCAGCTTATGAACTATATATACAAAAGAAAATATATTTAAAAGTTTGACTTGGTCTCCACAGTGTGATACTTAGCTTTGTAAACCTATTTTCAGCTCTCAAAGTGACAATCTCTTCTAAAAAAGTATGATAAATCTATTCACATTAATCAAACATTAAACATTTCGTGACTATTACGTAAATCGTCAAATCAGTTTCGTTGTTCTGTTTGCCATAAATTAAGGCTGTCTCCATTTTTTTTGTTTAGCTTCAACTGATTAAATCAGAACCGAAGCGGAACTACAACCCTCCGGCTGTAAGAGTAATAGCCGTATACCTATTTCCCAAATGGGCAATTTAACGCAACGGCTGAATTAATGCTCAGACTTTATGGCTAGCCCCGCCCCCTCATATCGCTATAGTCAATATGTATTGACTCCCGACTCTGTGCTATATCATTAGCGTGCATTAACAATCAATAATGACAAAAGCAAACTTAATAACGACTCGGAGTTTGGGTGCAAATGGAAGTCTGGAAGTTTACTTTTGGATATATTACAGTTAAAAATAATTGATAAACTCAGGGGAGTTGTAATAAATTTAAATATAGGTATATGCATAAATAGAGGTAATACTTGTTGAATTCACTTGACCCCTATCTTTCTGAACGATCAAATTAGATTGACGCATTAATATTTTTAATTAGATTCGAAATAAAGGATAAACAAATTAGCGCCACGCGTCCCACAATCACAAAATTACCTAATTAATCACTCCTTTTCCTTTACACCTAGCCTTATAAGTACAAACCAGCCCGCCATTGCCTGAATTGAGGAATAGGCGTCCACAATCTTAAGATTTATAATCTATCTTTAGTATAAAATAGCTCAATCCAAATTCAGAGACTCTTGTGCACAACTTTCTTATACGAATTTTATTCATTATATTGGCTATAAGCTATAAAATACAGCTACAATATGTAGTACATGTCCTTAGCAACATTTATTGACATTGACTTTATGTGTACATTAGCCCATTAACTATTCCAACTCGACTAACTGCATTCAAATGTCCTTTTAATGGACACATGCAAATGGACATACATATGTGTGTGTACGTTTTTAATTGTCAATTGTGTCATGTGTGCGTTTGCCGGCATGCAACAAACAAACAAACAGACAGACAAACAAACAGACAAACAGACAAACAGACAGACAAACAAACAGGCAAACAAACAAACAAACAACAACAACAACAAGTTGTATGCAAATGAGCAACAGCAGCAGCAGCCGCTACGCTCGCGTTACGTTACGTTTCGCTTACGTTACGTTGTGGCAGCGCAAACACAGCGCAGCCTAAAAGTCGGCTTCAGTTGTCATTGGCGAGCCAAGCGACGAGCACTGCAGCGAAAAAGTAACGGCACAATTAAATACGAATACACGGCAAAAGGCAAAATGTAAGCGTAATGTGTGTATGTGTGTGCTCGTGTGTTTGTGTGTGTGTTAGCTTGCGGCTTTTGTGTTTGTGTTTGTGTTTGTGCTGAGCTCGTGATTTGTTTACCTGTCAAAATAATAAATAAAACTTTCGTGTTGCCAGTGCCGCATTAAATACATTTTTTGATTGTCGTTATTGTTGTTGTTCTTATGGCTGTTGTTTGTTGCCGTTGGCATTGGATGACGCGGAAGCAACTCATGTCCTGGCCCGACTTTCGCCTTGGTTTCATGGCGCCAGTCTGCAGTCCGCCAAAAGTCAAAGAGTAAACGTTGCCTGGCTTTTAGATAATATTGATAGGAGGCGGGGGCGTGGCGCTGTCTGCTGTGACAAGAAAAACGTTTCCACTTACGTTCGAAATTCAATTGCAATTTGAGCTCAATTATGGATAGATTTCCACGCGTGTGCAACAGTTCTCCTTTAATATACTCTAATATACGCTTTTATATCAGTCACAGCTGCATTTCCCTTTTTAAATGAGTGCAGAATTTGGAGAAACGTAGGATTAAATGATTTAAATGGATTTCGAAAGTAATACAAGACTGTAGCTTATTATAATTTTGGTAAATATTATAATTCATATTAAAATATCATATATATATACCTATATCGTAGTTCGTTTAGAATAATCAAGATAAATATTCGCCGGTAACTATAAAATAAATCAAATATAAATTATGTATAACATAATAAAGATCGTATAATTTAATAGAAGTGTGTATATCTATAGTGTATATAAATATAAATTAAAGTTATATATGAATGATTTAATATAAATTATAAATATAATAATAATACTTAGTAATATGTAAATATAAGTTATAAATATAATCGGAGAGTTGAGCCAACGTTCATATCAGAACCAAATTTTACGGATGTCTTAAGCAACTTTCATGCACCCAGTCTCAAATTGTGTCACTGGTTCAAACCGTTAACAGAACCATCGACTTCTTTTTGCACTGTTCGAAACAGACTATGAGATCTAAGTCACTTTCAAAGGAACAGCCTGGATATGCAAAATACACTTATTTGAGTGTCCTCTTGATGCAGTGAATGTGCACAAAAGTTATTCAAGAACGAAATGTGTATAATAAGAATAAGACAGGAAGAAACTTACGTGTTTTAATGTGTGTGTCTGAAAGTTTAAGTCTATGGTTATGTATAATTCCTTGCGATTGAGTGTGGCGGAGCTTGGTAAAGGGTATCAGCTAGTCGCACACTCGCAACCTTTGACCTTGAAAGCTTAATTGAACTGCTCTGCTTTAACTGTCAGCTAACTATCTGATGTGTAACATTTCATATAGGAACTCATTCCAACATACTGTGACCGCATCAGCATGTCGTTGTCCACGGCGCTGATACCGCAGCAGCGACAGCCATGCAATCGGAAGAGCGCCCAGATCTTTGCCAGAATCTTCGAGCAGCGCTATGGTAACTGGAGTTATATGAAAAGCCGCAGCATTTGCCGCACCACGTCCGTTGTCGAGCAGCAGGCTAGCGGCCTAGTGAGATGTGTCAACCAGGTGGGCAGCCAATTGCAGACGCAGCGAAGTGCCAGCCTTTTGGCGCTCCAACGACAACAATTGCTGGGTTTGCACAGAGAGGATTATCGCATCTATCCGCAAAGCGTCGACTTGGATGCGTTCTTTGGAGAGGAGCACAAGTGTGAGAAGGTATCGGATGTTTGCCTGCTCAACGATCACTTTATGCTGGTCAAGATGCCGCAGGAGCAGCAGGCCAAGGAGTTCCAGCCAGCGCCCGCTGAGCTACAGCGCAAACTGGGCTCCCGGCTGCCGCGCTGCTTTAAATGCTATCGCGGCAGCCGTGTTTCGCCCATCTTGGAGGAGCATGACCAGCCCACGCCCCAAACGGACTATAGACCCTGGAACTCATACGACGATGAGGACGTCGAGGTCTTTGCCTCGAGCACGCGCATTCTACCCGCTTATGGCCAGCAACAAATGCAGGCCAGTTCCACGCCTGCCGCCAAATCTGTGCCGGAGTCCGTCATAGTGGAGCAGCCGCTGCCACAGCGAAGCGCGCCGGCTGCATCATTGCAGCTGCGACTGGAGACGTTCCAATCGCCGCCGCCAGCTGATGCATCTGCACATGCCATCAGCCGCGGCCCGCTGCACTGGTTCCTCTGGCCCTTCCGGCGGCGCTTTGCCAGCCGGCCCAGAGCTCAACTGGCCGCCGTGCACAAGACCTATTTTGTCAGTTGGAACAAGCCGCCGGATACGCTCTGGCATGGCTATGGCGTGGAGCGTGCCCAGGTGGACAAGGTTGTACTGCGGCGCTGCCGTTCCGCCATATTTTAAAGAATTTCTATCGAAGCTTTGTGTATATTTTGTATATATTGGGGAGTCGACAACTACAACCAAAACGCTTAATAAAATAAAAAGAAAATTGTTATTTTATAATGGGGAGTAATTGGAGAATCCAGATTATTTTTCATACTACTTGGAATCAAACCAATCTCTCTCAATTTGCAATTCCTTACAGCACAAATAAAATATCCTAAGAGAACTTCCATATAATTTCATGTTCACAAGTTCTTAATCATTTCCACTGAAAACCTCTGCCACAAGTCAAACTTAATTTCCGCATACAAAAACTATACAAATATATGTATATATAAAAGCCAACATTGAGCCGCAAACGTGCTGCATGCCGCATTTAGTCGGTGGTAAATAAAGAAAATAAACTCAAAGTACGTAAATTGCAGGCAAAATGCAGATAAAGTGAGAAACAAAAAAGTTCAAACTCCTTTTTTTTTCAACGGAATTTGCACGCGTCCATGAAGTCGACCTGAAGCCGAGCTGCGGCTGCAACTGAGGCCGGGTCTACGGCTACATTGTCGGAGTTGGCCACAATAGCTGTTGGCGCACACCGTGAAGGGGGCTTCATTAGCTTGGGGCCTGCCTTCAAGGAATGTCGGGCAATGTCGTTCGTTACTCTCCTGGTCGCTAGGTGGCGCTGGCTGCGAAGCGTGCGACTAATTACGATGGCTACCATAAAAACCTAGTAAAAGCGTTCCAGTCGCGTGCAACCGACTGTACAATACTCTGTAATAACGGCTGAAAGTAGGTAGCAAAAAGATTTCTTGATTATGACTCTAAGACTTTTAGCCAACTTCTGTTACATATAGTCACATTAAAACTGGGGGGAAAGCGCGCAAAGGTAGTTGCTTTCAAACTGTAACAAGGAATTGAGTGAGCTTAGTGGCTCTTAAACTTTAAGAAACTGGTGAAGGAGCGCCGGTGACTCTTAAACATGCCCCATGGCTCTCAAACTGTAACTTTAACATCTTAGCTAGGCATCTGTCATTACACAATAAACTCCTTTTCATACTGTAAACAGAGTATTGAAACAACAACAGCTATTGTCCAATGCATAACTCAGGCATCGACATTTGCGCTTTCCCTCTATTTGTCTGCTTGTCTCGCTCTCTTGTGGCAGTCACGGGGGCGACTGCAAGCTCCCTGTGCCGCAATATACATAATAATAATAAAAAAAAATTAAAATCGTCACGCCAGGCGTCAGTGCAGTGAAGCAATCGCGGCGTGAACAAAGCACACGGCAAACCCAAAAGGAGCCCCTCGAACTGGACAGAGCCCGACTGGAGCGGAGCTGTTGCTGGAGCAGTGGCAGCACTGAGGCACCAGGTCATACATATAATAATAAACCATTAATATTAATATGCAGCAGCAGCAGCAGCTAGGTATCGCCCGGGCGATAAGACGTCTGAGTATATCGAAAATCGAACTGCCCTCGCTCGCCGCATTTCACATAATATGCCCATTGTTCTCTGATGATTGCCCTTCAGCCGTCGCTTTTGACTATTTGTCATTAATTATAATGTCAGTTGGGCACAGGTGAGCACATTAGCATTGTCCATTTATTGTATTAGATGGAAAGAGCCCCGCTAGACTTACGTGCGCGCTATATACCTCCCCGTTTGGGGAGCTACTGAAGGGCGCCACCTGTCTGCGGGTAGACGCAATAGAAAGCTACGCTAGTTAATTAAAGTTCATTTAAAATGGGTTTGTAGATCGCCAATTAGCATGGAAAATGTAAACGATTAACATTTTAATAATACTATATAGATTATCATACCCAATCCTTCCTGCAACTAGACTCAACAATATTTTTCTAATCTAATTTCTAATTTTTAAACAATGTATGTTCCATTCGGAAATATTTGTCCGCATCTTCTACGATTTTTGCTTCCCTAATATAGCATAACGGTTCCAGCGTGTTAACTCAAAAATTGCAGTTGGTTTGTGGTGGCATCTACTGAACAGAAGAAGACACTTGCTGGGTGAAGTTGCCAAAAGGAAGCTGACAAGTTGCTAACCAAGAGGGAACTCAAATAGGAGCAGCAGCAGCAGGTCCCGCCAAGCATTCCGAATCGATTACGACTATTTGCAAGATCAAAAGCGTATACCCCTCTCTCTTTCTCTCTCTCTCTCTTACTGACTCTCCCTATCTCTAGCTCTGCCTTCTATGTGTTTATTAATAAAACTCCAACTGGCAGAGAGGGAGAGAGATGAGGCGAGATCTTCAGTCGCGAAACAAACACAGTTGGTGGTGCCAGGTCGCAGCTACAAAGTGTTGACAATGTCCGACTGCGCAACGACCTTCGACGAGTCCTGCAATCATGGTTAATGATCGCAATGTCCTTGTGCGCCTCCATTTGACAAATCAATTCGTGAGCTAACAGCATGCGCTCCGCTGTGGGACAGCAAGGCCTGCAAGAGGACGCAGGACGAGCACCAGGACACAGGACAGCACAAACTGCATGTGTCTCTCGACGAAGATGGACAACTGAACAGCCAGACAGTAGTTCGTCGTGACAAACCAAACCAAAATGTTTGCCAATAGACATTGATTGGGTTCCTCTGGATGTGTCGTGGCGTGAGCTATTTAAACTGCGATCCGTTATTATTAAGGGGCCCAAGTATGAGCAGAGCTTGTAATATATTTGAAATCTATTCCGATATGTTCTCATGTCTACTAATAATTTGTAGTTGATAGTGTTTCGATACTTTCTCAAAGAGCTGGAAAATACTTTCAAGATATCTTTGACACTGAGGATAGTTTTGAGCTATAGATAGATATAGATAAAATCACATTCTAAGCCGCAAACGTAAGCACATGAGAGCGGGCTTCGGTTATGCTAGCTGTGTCGCCATTTGCTTGCTTATAATTCTCAAGCTGTTATAGCTACGCACTTAGGCCAGGCCTGCAAAACAAAAAGGCAAGCTCAGCTAAGTCGGCGGATAATAAGACTTAGAGCTTGTTGAAATAGCTATATAGACAACCGGCTCACTCTTGTTTTGTTGGTCATTATGACAATCATTGATCTCGACCTCGCTTAAAATTAAATATAAATCTGTATTTAATTGTGTGGCTATACTTTATAAGAAAGATGGAAAATATGTCCCTATATGTCTTTGATTTACAACCTAGCGATATAGCTATAGTTGAAAGTGGAGGATATTTTGGAGCTATAGTTTGATTTCTTGAGGAGAGTTGAAAAATAGTTTTTGACCATACATTTGTAATTGAAAGTGTGCTTGGCGCTCTATCTATAATTACTGCTAGGAAATATAGCTTGCCATTATACTTATTTTTAGTTAATGAATCACCCGTGTGGTTGGCGGGTATAAGAATAACCACCACAGTATGGCACTGCTTGTCGTAAGAGGCGACTAAAAGAGCCGCTCTAGTGCACTAAAGAGAGTAGGATTAACATATAGCACTTCATTCAGCCTGGATATCTAGAGGACTTGTGCGCATTATCCTCGATTATCCTTGACTTACAGACTTTCTAGTTTTCAGCCTTAAATGTTTCACTGTCTCACATTTGCAGCAAACACCTCATTAGCAGGGATTATCGGCCTTTGCGACAAGCAGAACTGCCTCGTCCTCGTCCTGCCAGGCAGGACCTCTGCCTACCTCTAGCTACCTGACTTTGACTCCGTTCCGTAGCGTCGAGCTCGAGCTGGAAAGCTAAGCCTTTCCCCGCTTAACTCTTGCCTGTGCGCGACTTTCGCCCAAAAGGGGTTCCCACTCGGGCTGAGTGCTGGCCATGCGCTTCGGCCAGGACGAAAGAATGACGGCAAATAAAACTTTATGATCTATCGTAAAGTGAGTCGAAGTTGTGCTGCTGCGAAAGGCTGGGCTAGTGCGCCGTTTACTGCATGCTTCCTGGCAGCAAAGGATTATTTCCGAACTGCCTAATCCTCCAGTCCGGTGTTTATGCTGTCCGGCATTTGTCTGTCCCTGTCTGTACGGCAAATCCTTTCGCCACCTTACGAACCGTACTGAAAGCCTGCCTGAATCCTGCCTTCTGGAACTGGATTTTATTCGCACACAGTTTGCCAAATATTTTGGGACAGTCCGCTCATTTACCCGATCAGTCTGTCGCCTGGCCCTGTAAATATTTTGAGGTTTTGCGCTTCTTATCTTACAGGCAACGCCTGATCCATACACATGTCCTGCACCGAGTGCGAATTGCTGCTATAATTGGACCATCATCGCGAACATTGCAACAGGTACTCGCACGCTGTCTGGCTGACCATTTATAATTATGTCTGAATTATAAGAAATTATTAAGACGAAGTATTGTGAGTCCTATAGACAGCGAAGACTGCATACCCTTTGTTGATCGTTGATCAAGCTCATTTTCGAGGGGTAAAATTCATTAGCGACTATTTTTATAGTCTTCACGGCAAATCAACCCACGTGTGTGGAAAATGGGATCTACATCTTCAATCGAATTGAAATATAAATTTAATTTAAATAATGTATCACTATTTTCAAGGAATTAGTTCATGTGTAAATTCACCTTCACGATCGAAAAACGGGTTGAAGACAACTTTTTTATTTTATAAATTTAAAAAAAAAGTCTTAATCATAATTAGCTAATGGAATATTACCAAGACATTCTTGACCCGGCAAAAAACAACCAAGTTTTGCAGCTATATATAAGAAAGATTTTACGATGTTATCTGATAATCTGATCACAGATTATAATAATATTTTATGTTTATTTTAATGGGTCACAAACCATTTCAATTAATTATAACACCCTCTGTTAGGGCATAATAAATTAAATTTGTAGCTCATCTTTGGCTTGGCGCTGCGTATATATTGTAAATTACTATTTTCCTACCTTTTGATGTTCAACACATTGTCGGTTCCATTAATCAAGTCAACTGAACCCAAAGCAGCCTCCGCCCCTGATCTCTCTCTCTCTCTCTATCTCTCTTTCCCTCAATCTTACTCCGTGGAGCCGAAGCCAACCAGGAGCGACGTGGAGAGAAGTGGAGCGCCTCAGCAAAAAGTTCATTAGTCGAAAGACTCTGTAAAGTTCAAG